TTATTAGGCAGTTAGAGACGCGTCAAGCCACAAGACAAAGGCTTGACGCGTCTCTAACTGCCTAATAAATCGACGAAAATCACTTACTAATCTGTCTACCTTTTCAGGAAAGACGAACACTTTTTCCACATAAGCTGTATTAGATGTGAATGCTATGCCACCATCGTCCATAATTTTGTGTGGTAGTAAACCAGTACACTTCGGGTAGATACGGCTATCTCACGGTGATGACAGAAGGAGGTTTCCTTCAATCTTTTACTGCGCATGATTGCTGCGGCTGACCGAAGTTACGACCGAAAACCCACCCGCAGCTGCAAGATCAAGAAGCATGTGATATTAGCACATGAGGGAGAGTCCACTCAAGAATACTCTGGACGTGGATAAATTACATCCAAAAAACAACAGTCATGAATACACATGAACGGGTGATTGCACTATTTGAATATACTGTCGAATTATATTGCTTCAAGCGGGCTCACTAAATAGTTGTTAGAACAGCAGAGTCTGAAACATGCAGGACAACAATTTAGTCAGCCTAAGTACACGCCTTACTTGATAACTACGATCGAACTAGATGTACTCAACTGCTTCAAAGGCTCTGTAAGCCTGACCCAATAACATTCCTCTCATTTAACGGGACTCTAAAGCGGTATGTTCTTTTTGGAGTCAAAAACATCCCGGTGTTTGCATTGCATTGAAACAACAAAGGGTCGTTTTTGATCGTCTTCTAGAAGTTTGTTCGCAACATTAATATTGGCATCGTAATATTTGCGTGCCAAGTATCGCCTTGTCTTTCTATACATCAGACTTCCGGACATTACAAGGTCGTACCCGAAACAAAGGAAGCCTGCCGAAAGCCTTCTTCACCATCGGAACTGAGACCACAGTGGTGGCTCAGCTGAAAACGAAGCACGCTTCTTGGCGCTACCGAGAGAAGCTAAAGAATATTAACGATATGGCGTTTCTCCAAGACACTGGTAGATATCTCTGGAGGCGATCGCTCGGAAGGTAGATAATCCTGTACATCAGTCTATTGATATCTGGAATACTGATCCGCCTCAGGCGGTCATCACCATTGGAGGGACGAATCTAATCATTTGAATCCAGTCCTTCGATGCTGCGGTACTATTATTAAAATATTGCATTCATGTCTTATTGGTTGGTGGGATCGCTTCCGCCAGAGTGAAACGTTGACAATCATTGTGGCTGTATGACTAATGCTCTTCGCAATCCTAGAATGTCATGGAGTGGTCAGTCTCTCTACTAGCCTAGGAGCTTCTGGCGAGGCGAGGTGGACACTTCTTAACTTAGTTCAAAATTTATATCGGGTATCCAGGGCAGGTAGCCTACCAGACTCCGAATTTTTCCGTGACTAAGATAGGTTCAGGAGAGGAACAAAGCTTCAATATCCCTCCCGTGGTCCCCTTCATAAATCACAGGTCCGTGGACATGTTCGGAACTCAAATTCCTCTGCCAGCCGGCATGCAAAGCATGCGGATGCCCCGGCACCCCGTATGTGCACAATTTGCCCGCCCTAATGATTGCAATAAACAGGTGGCACATTTCCGATTTGACCCACCCTGTCGCATCAGTGAAATCGCAGCAAGTTTCCCTTTGTACTTTCGCTGTCGCCGAAGGCACCACCGGCATTCAGTGAGCGTTGTTCTGTGTGAGTTCCAGACTCAGTAACGTAGTATCACAAGATAACGTAGTATCACAAGGTAAAGTAATTGAGCATCAAAAGCTCATAGGAGAATCGTGCTTCCTGGACGTCAAGTACTGCGTATCAAACTAGGCCCGTATTAGACGAGCGAAACGTGAACGGAACCATTCACTTCGTTTCAGCAAGCGAGCCATAATGCTTCGTCGATCGAGAAGTTAGTACTGCTAACTCAATTGCGATAAATCACCTGATCATCATATCAGTGGACCTTTATCAAAGTCACTGATCGAAAGCTTCGAAATGCGGATCTGGTGGGGTATTTTAAGAAATCTAATCATGAAGAAGTATGCACGGACGCATCATTCTCGCGACGCATGTTATCCGCATGCTCGATTTCATTCGTCCAAGTAGGCTGGGAATACGTCCATATATGACAGTCCGGCCCCACGACGGTATCTGATTACCATGTCAACCTCTCGAAATATGACCGGATCCGATAGTATTGAGAGTGGCCACAGATATTGGGTTGTTCACCCTCACCGGAGTATGCAATTCTGGTCATACAAATGATACTCCTTTCTTCTTTGCTGGTTGTGTTTCGGAAGATTCCCGACCCTGCTTTGCAGCCTTCCGGAACTCGGTCCTGCGCTTCCGTAACCGAGCCACTTGCGCTCGAACGGCTTCTTTTGCTTGCTTCTTTAACAAACACTCAGAAGAATGCTCAAACGTGATAAACGATGCCATGCTTACAAGCCGACTGTCGCTGGATGGACGGGCCTTTTTCTTGACCTTTTGATGCTCGTCACGTCCCTATTGATGATCGCAGTAGTGCGGTGTAAGCATCCTTGAGACTATCAGCGCTATGAACGGAGTCTGACATTGTTCAACAATTTGTTGTGTTGCATCCTATTGAGAACCTTCTCCTCTTGCGATTTCGCAGCAGACTCTGCCAGAATCATAGCATCATTCTCACCACGAAACTGGCATCAATAGGAGGTCGTGGTGACAAAAAGACCAGGAAAAGGGACTCACCATGGACTCAATAAATCGTTTCTCCTTTTTCGCCATGTGATGATGATGATGGAGTGAAGGGACGTACTCAATCATGTGACTGATACGAGCATTTGAAAGGTGTTTCCTTTCCCAGTCACACACCGCCTCAATCAACAACCAACATGTGCGCCGAACTGGGCGTTATTAGCAGAGACGAACAGCAACTAATGAGTAAAAGCTGATCGGTTCCCTTTTTTACGACTGTATCAATGCGCGAACCTGCCTACCATGTGTAGTCTAACGAAAAGTGTTGTTCTGACCTCATAACTGGCTTAGTGAACATCCTTGTGTTTACCTTGCTTTGTTGTTCTTCGTACCCTGAAACAGGATTTTCAGTTGCTTCTAATGCGGATAACTCTCTCCTGAGACATTATGTCGCAGCGCTTGCTCTACTCAACTCCGCATGAGCGCCGCATTCTTTCTTCAACGATTTCGCATCGGTATGTCATAAGTGGGTTCCGTACGGTTTGGTGGTGACAGTGATGCTCGTAGAAGCAGTGACGAGTAGCGGCGCAAATTTGAATTGTTTTTCGCCTACCATGGCTGAAGGTCTCACCTATTAGACTATGCGCAGTTGCAAAAACCGCTTGCAAGATACGTCACAAGACGTTTTCCCCCTCTGTATGTGATCCTTTCACAGCTTCATCGGTCTCCTCGGGACGAGGCAAGGAGCGGATTTGTATCACTAACTTTCTAAAGCATCTTGTTCTCTCGGCCCTGCTCCCCTCGCCGCAATCTTCGTTCGGATGTGTCCATTACTGAGGTATGAGCTTTGTTGACAAGATCACTACACATAACTCAGACGTGATGGAAGAATCATCCCTTAAGTCATCACAGGGAAAACCTTCGGCGTATTGAAATCGTTCTGGCTATGCTCGGGAACCTTGCTGGTATAAAATGACGGGATTTATGAAGGACGAAAGACAACAAACGACCTCCTTCTGTACTCTTAACTGATATCCAGTCTTGTCTATCTATCCAGCAAGTACACGAACCACAATATGTGCCACTGGAGAAGGTTGCTAGCTCGTCTTCTACGTCGTCAGTTTGCCTGATGAAATTACCTGCAGAGTTACCAACTTCTACAAACGTTGCGGCCATTCAATCGCTCTTGTGCGTGACCTTGAGATCCAAGCGCTTTACCCGTCCCGAATTTGACATACTGATATTTATTTATGCAGCCTGATGACATGGTGAGAGATGCTTCGCATGCAGCATACTAAAATCCATCTTACGTGCTGTAAAGATCTATTGCGTGAGCCATAGGTGCAAGTTTAGCCCAAACCATCCTATCGACTGCCTCCCGCCCAACTGTCAGCGAACATGTTGGCAATAGTGAGTAACTTTTCCTAGTCATCTTTATTGGGTTCTAAAGCCAGGTTATCACGTACAGTCGTCAATATCCAGAGCAGTACAGTGAGTGTCAGATCACATGCTATTTCAATGATCTTCGACCTTAAGTTCCCATGCGGTTTAACAGGTCCACAAATTGACTCAGTTTGCCCTGCATGCGCGGGCAGGCGTTACTGAGAAGAATGAACACAGACTGCAAAGTCTAGAATGGCATCAGAACTAAGGGGGCACATTATATATATTGTCACCAAGACGGTCTCCCTATCACCATCTGTTAGATAGATTCTGTTATGTTGTAAATCCAGCTGTCAGTCTATGGAAATACTTTGTATTAATGATTAGATAAAGAATGCGTTTATCTGCTTTTCGATCGAAGTTGGACACGTGCGGATGCGGCCTATCGCGTGAGAATATTGTACCGTTGTCAACTGCGACGGCCACAATTCAGTGCTTAGCCGCACCAACCGCGTTCTTGTATAAAATGAACTTGAATACCTCCCTGCTACTCCTCTCTCGCTTTGATACGAACCACAACCATGGCTGGTATGTCACACATTCACTCGATCTGCTTTCGTCTGTTATATAAATTACCGACGCCTGCATAGGAACTAAACGCAGCGCTCCTGAAGCTGAACCAAAAGAGACACGGGCATCGAAAAACGCCAAGACAGGCGGTGATGTCAAGTCAACAAAAACCAACAAGGGTGCATCAAAAGGAGGAAAGAAGGGTGTGAAGGCAAGCATATCGAGTTTCGAGCTCACTTGAGAAATCTAATTTCCATTTGAACCAGGTATCTCTCGCACTATCAGCCTTCAAGGCAAAAGCCCTTCCATTGCACGTCAACTTCACGCACACTCCACCAGCTATACCAGCTGATGACGAGACAGTTCCTACAACGTCTGCTGACCCGGGTGCGATAGGCTCAGCTACACTGGTTCCGACCGAGTTTAGCACGGGCAGTTACGGCTGGAAAGGCAGCAAGCGGGTCGCGATCGAAATTCCGAATCCAGATGGTGGAGAGGGTGAAAAGGTTCAAGTCATGATTTCGTGCGTTGCTTTGTTCCTTCCACTCGATGTAATGAATGCTAAGGATTAAAATTAATAATAGGATTAATGCGACCGTCCTTGGTAGCAAGAACGCCAAGGGAGACGCGGATGAGGATGCTAAGGAGGAAAAGGAAGCAAACGGGGGTAGTGACAAAGCTGAGGAAACTGAGAATGCCGAAGATCCTGCTGCAGAATGATCTATTGAGTCACATTCTACGCATTGCTTCTGATTGACAAGTTACTTTTTTACTAGGCTGTAGTATTTGTTACATGAATTTATGAATATAACGACAATTTATTTTGATTATAACTCGATTTAGCTACGACTGCTCTGCGTCAATACACTCAATTGTGGCTTTCTTCCTATGTACTCTGCTTGTAGCTCAACGTAGGCCACACATCGTCCTTTCACTGAATAGTCATGGGAAAGTGGGCAAAGCACAATCAAATGAGTCTGCTTCTGGGATGATTGATATCCATTGAGTATAGATACTAAAAAGGGAGATCTCCCAACAAAACAACTTCTGGGCCTGATAAGAGAATACTGACGCTCTTCCCTTTTTCGACCCCGTTCACTTGCTATATATGCGTTATGATGCCTGTTTCTGACAAAGAAAAAAGATCCGTTCGTTCTCCAAATAAAGTGCACCGTCGTGTTCCCAGTGCACTCATCAGACTCAGAGTCATCTCGGATTTTCTGCGCGTCGCGACACGCTCCACACGTGACGAACGCGTGGCCCCAAATCATTAATCAAAGTCTCAAAGAAACAACACTTCCCTCATCTTCCAACATCTGTAATCCCAGTAGAGCATTGATGGCTGCGGCTTGCTCCCATCTGGCACGTCTTTCTGGGCTGGTTTCTCCCAAACTATCCCAGTCTGTCCATCGTGAAGAATGTACACAATGCTTTGACAGTCAGGTGTGGGAAGTGATCCCGTTCTAAATGCGCCACACTCATGCAGTGATGTAGGATAGCGGTTTGGGCATTGACGTCTGTCTCTCATGCTTCAACGGAGGTTGTCTTGATTCGGGACGCCATCATGCACGTACTCATGCCGAGAAGACGGGTCATACCTTTGCTCTGAACATAAAGCGCAGGCCAAAACCTATAAGTCCCCAACGGGTGCGTTTTCATCTTATCCGATACAATAGACGTGATTATTCTAACAATCTGCTCAGGTGGGAAATGAAGAGCCCCCAGCAAAGATGACGAAGCTCGCAATCGTAGAACAGCGTGAAGAAGATAAATTCGATCACTTCACTACGCTGAAGTGCTGGAGTTGCGAAAGCGAGTCGGGCCGTGAATTACCTCAGCTTGCTGAAGAGCCGAAAGTGAAGGAATTAGTACGCGACATTATGACTTCAATGTCTTCTGCTCGTCAGTCGGAGGTTCAGGCTTGGGAAGAAGAGATTGTAGCATGTGAGCACACATTGATGCTCGAACAGGCAGCAACAGGACCTATACCAGAGTCCGGTCTCGCACATTGCCAAAAATGTCACCTGAAAGAAAATCTATGGCTTTGTCTTATCTGTGGGTCCCTTGGGTGTGGCAGGCAACAGTATGGCGGTTTAGGGGGAAATGGGCATGGACTAGCTCACTACCAAGAAACTCGCCATCCAGTAAGCGTTAAGCTCGGCACAATCACTCCAGAAGGAAGTGCAGGTTCGTTGTTATGTTGCTTCAGTAGTTCGGTACCTCATCATCTGCGTCTGTCAGATATTTACTGTTACGAGTGTAACGATGCACGATTAGACCTGGATCTTGCCGCTCACTTGCATACATTTGGCATCAATGTAAGCACACAAACAAAAACGGAAAAGTCTATGACCGAATTGGTTCGTACGGATCGCAAATCTAATAGTACTGTCTAATGGGTCTGAATTATAGCAAATTGAGCACAATCTCAAATTCGACTTCAGTCTGACAGACGAATCTGGAAAAGCACTTGACCCCGTATTCGGGCCGGGATTGACTGGACTCAAGAATCTTGGTAACAGGTGAGGGCCACCTTTACTCTTGAAGCAAATTCTCATTTCCATTGAAGCTGTTACATGGCTTCTGTAATCCAGTCCCTCTTCTCACTTCCAGCTTTTCAAACTCGATATCTTCCCTCTGCACCTTCGCACTGGCAAACATGCTCAGAACTCCTTCCCGCAACGTGCTTGGAATGTCAAATGCACAAACTTGCCGACGGATTGCTATCGGGTCGTTATTCTAAACCACAAACAAAGCCATCGGATAATCCATTCGCACACGATTCGCCAGCTCCAATCTTCCAGGAGGGTATAAGTCCTGCCACATTCAAGGCGCTCATTGGAAAGGGTCATGTTGAGTTTGCAACGATGCGGCAACAGGATGCCGAGGAGTTCTTTACGCATTTGCTCACAGTCCTTCGTCAGAATGCAAAGAAGCGTGGGGCCAAACAAGAGGACGAGCCAACTGAGGCGTTCAGATTTGGTATGGAACAGCGATTGCAGTGCAGTGAATGTATGCGAGTAAGGTACCGAGTAGACAGCCATGACACGCTGAGCGTACCGGTGCCTGCACGCGAGAAGGGAAAGGATACGGAAGGAAAGGCAGTTTACGAAGATGTACAGATAGCAGAATCGTTGGAGGCATTGACTGCGGATGAAGCCTTGGAGTATCAGTGTCCAGGCTGCAACAAGAAGGTTCTTGCAATGAGGTTAGCCGGTTCTTTGCCCTCCTACCATAACAGATCGTAATGCGACTTTATTTAGGAGGTCTCGCTTTTCAACTTTTCCCAAGGTACTCGCCGTCCATGCGAAGAAATTCCAGATTGTCAACTGGGTTCCAGCAAAACTTGGTCAGTACTTCCATCGTTCTATACTTCTTATGCTTTGCATTAACAAAATGATAGATATCCCACTCATTTTACCGGCTGATGACGAGCTGCTCTTGGACTCCTACTTAAGTCAAGGGCTACAGCGAGGGGAGACAGAGCTCCCAGAGGAATCAACTGGTACGGCAGCCATTCGCGTGCTTTCGTTAGATCTTTTGACAACCAAGCTCCCTTGCAGCGTCAGTAGAGCCCAGCTTCAACGAGGCAGCTCTCGCTCAGTTAGAGGGCATGGGCTTCCCACAGATACGCTGCAAAAAGGCGCTCCTTGCAACAGGAAATGGTGACGCAGAGGCGGCCATGGAATGGTTATTTGCTCACATGGAGGATCCTGGTCGGTTTGCATAAAAGTCTTTAATCGCATACAGCTAACTCAGCTGTAACAGATATTGATGATCCACTGCCGACTGCGGGAGGCGCAGCTCCAAGCGTACCTGAACCGTCTTCGGAACAAATTGGCATGCTCGTTGATATGGGCTTCACACCTGGGCAGGCTAGTAAAGCGCTTCGTGAGACTGTACGAAATATTCTCCACTTTAGCCGTTCAGTCGTTGAACACAACCTACGTTTTATAGGGCGGAAACTCTGAGCGCGCTGTCGATTGGCTTTTCAGTCACCCCGACGACATGGGTGAGGACTTGAGTGCACCAGCTCCCACAACTAGCGAACCAAAACACCCTGGTGGCTCTGCGACGCTTCCGGCAAGGTACCGTCTCAAGGCCTTCATCTCGCATAAAGGTCCCTCCGTGCATTCAGGGCACTACGTTGCGCATATTAAAACAGAGAAGGAAGGCTGGGTGCTGTTCAATGACGAGAAGGTTGTTCGCGCAGATGACGAGAGCGTAAGAGAGCTGAAGAAGCTTGCGTATTTATACGTATTTGAGCAGGTTTGATAAAACGAGAGCCCGGAAGTAGGATGGTCCCAAGAAAGAAGACAAGGAAGTGCAAAAAAGCTAGAGGTTGATCTACGGTGTAAAATGGCAGCCAGCACATGTATCACCAAACGAACCACACAATTGAGGAATAAAGCAGACATGAATAAGAATAGAGGCGGATTCCGGAAACTGAGTTGTGATGTGTTACCCATCATCTCAAAATTCACATGTCAGACAAGTTGACCTTCCGCAACGTAGCAGTATCTTCATCCCATGATGTTCGAGATAACTCCCTAATGTGGTACGGCTCGATGGATACCGTTCTACCAGACCCATTGCGCCGGGCCCTGCTCCTCGTGGAATCACTTGCTACACCAGATAATCTGGAGTTCGACTTTCGGACTCGTCGGTAAATGGCAAAAGCAAATATAGACACAATGGCAATTGTCAATCCAACACCCAGGAAGATACCAGCTATTGCTCCTCTACTTAGCGAGGGACGTGTACTTGGAAGATCCGAGTCAATACAATGCATCCGCCATTATAAAGGAAATTTACTAACTTTGACTGTGGCATAGTAACCGTCGAGGTGCTGGTAGAGTGATTGGATAGGCTAGAGGGTAGTTCATCGCTTGTTGCGGTAGGATCCAGCGATGTTGGATTCGTGCCGGGTGTCGGGATATCGGTTCCAGTAGTCAAGGGAATCGAGAGTGTGGAAGACGAAGTTGACGAGGTGGGGAGACTTGAACTGGATGAAGAGTCGTTTGATGGTGATGTCGCAATTTCAGTTGTCGGAGTACCGTCTCCCTCGACAATGGTCTGACCTGGCTGCTCGACGATAGTCTCATCGGGTAGCTCAATTTTCGTTTGATCATCTTGAATGATGACTGTCCTGGTTGGGTTCGCATCGACAGTTTGTCCAGGTTGAGCATTTACGACATCTCGGCGATCTCGGCGATAAAGCGAATCAATTTCATTACTCTCCATTTCCAAGAGAGTATGATGTATGTCGCTCGCTTCGCATGATCCTGGGATGTGATTGATAAGGTCTTCTTTGCAGTTGGTACGGCTTTTCTGCACGGGCTCCATAAGCTACTCTGGGCTTGCTAAGGATGATTTTCGACAAAATGAAAGGAAATGGTCAGAACTCAGCTACGACTGACCAATGGTGCCTATTACGAACCTAGTTATCGGACCGTCAATTAACGAGTCGGAAGGATGGTTATCTTTGTTAAGGACGTGCCCTATTCGGCGTGCTAAGATGATATTGTACAATGACGCTGCGAAGATAGGGAATTCGCTTGACATGACAGACGTTCCAGTGCTTAAATAGTAGTCATCGCATGATGTTTGGACGCCGGAAGTTCTCATCATCTAGATAGAGCCAATTCTTAGAAGATGCTCTCTCCAAATGTGATACTAAACTACTCACCAATTACACCTATTTTGTATTGACCCGATCAGAAATAGCAAAAGGCGACGAAGCAATCACGACAATGTGATATACTGCTGATGCAATACCAGAAATGGCCCGGGTCAATCCACTTTGCAACAAGCCATCACTAACATCAAGCAGTCCTCGCTCTGCAGGTGCAGGAATGTATTGAGCCAAAAGAGAATACTGATGAATCGCTAATGAGCTCGTCGGGAAGCACAAGGGTTGACCCAATTCCAAAAGCCTCTCCTCCAGTTGGTCTTGTATTTTCCACAAAATTCTGATACTCAACGCCGCTCCAAATAGCATAGATCCTGGAAGATAAGCAGTAGAAGAACACTTGTGGGTTCTCCTTTCAGTTTGGTTTGATATGTGCGAAGAGTAGCTAGTGAGTCAATGGATTCATTATTCATAGCTTGTCGTCATGGACAAGATATTCCGCAGCATAAGAAATTTGATCGAAAACGCGATTACATAACATGTCTAATACATATATTCAAGATCATTACCAATACCTATAGTATCATTGACCCACACCAATAACCTTCAGAAAGTTGGCCTGTATGCATTCAAGGAAATTACGGTCCGTTCATATTGAACTTCCGAAGCGTTGCAACGTCCTCGTGCCAAGAAGTTCGAAGATACTCCTCGATGCGGTACGGATCAATTGACCCAGCATTACGAGAGCGTATAGTGTGCGTGTCGTCAATAATAGGATTGCTCAAAGGCGGGGATGTGTTCGACTTGGAGGCTCGGACACGCCTAAATACGCAAAGTGCAGATATTGCAGCGATGACGATCGCAAATCCGACGCCTACGAAGATTCCGAGTGTTTCTCCTTTGCTCAGTACTGGATGTAAGCTTGAACTGCAAAGAACCAACGTTAGTCAATGCATTAACTGTATTCATATCAAAAGAGAGTCATTTACTTTGAACCCGAAGATGTTCCTGTAGAAATACCAGAAGACAAACTTGTTGTGATTGTTGAGAAAGCAACATTCTTTGTTGCAGAAGATATTACTGATGAAGCAGCATTAAAGTGTGTGGTTGAGGGAGGTCCATTGGCGTCAGTTATAGATGAGATGGTATTTGACGTTGAACTGGCTCGGAGGTCTGGCAAAGGCTCCAAGTGGCTATTGGGAGATGTGACAAACACTGTAACAGATACAGCAGGAGTCGTAATTAGTGTAGGAGAAATTGCTGGTGGTGGGTCGAAAACCACACTAGGTGTGATAAGGGATGCGCTAGGCAAGGGTGAGGTTGTGATGGTTGTCCTATTTGAGGTGTCTAGGGTAACAGGATCATGATGTGAATCTGCAGAAACTGAAAAGGCGTTGGCAAGTGGTTTCTTTGTTTCACACTCAGTAGAGACAGTAGCACCACTTGGAAGGTCTTCATTACAAGCACCACCTGCACCAGCCGAAGCTTCCACAGCTTGTCTAGCATGTAGCCCAAACTGGTACTTTGCACCATAAATGACTGTGGTGCTAGTATGCTTAGGATCAGCAACATCTGGTTGAGCCATCAACATGTCCATCGGCAGATTCACACCTGCTAAAGAGTGTCAAAATATGTCAGATTAAGGCACAGGGGGGTCAAAATAGTATATCCAATACAAACCTGTCTTTCTAGGTTGCTAAACTGCAAGCTGGATCACACCAATTACTCAGTAAACTGAATACTATTTCAACAAGAGGGTGCGTCACTTACAGGGACGTGGATGCCGGGGGGGGGGGTGGCGACTTGCTCCATATCGCCACTAACAGACTTAAAAGCGATTCGTTCGTGTATTTATCTGATACATCACAGTCCTCTCAATCTGATGGTAGTACTGGCAGATTAAACAATATCTTACCTAAACCGATGTGTAGCTATGCACTTCTACGCAACTCTTATCCGGCACGCAATGAGCACTACCGAACTGGCCAGTAAAATCCCTACTATCGGTGAGAACTTTAGGAGATCAGGAAGTTTAATTGCTAGCAATAGATAACAAGGAAGCCAGCACATGATTCTTTACCCTAATCGCTCGGAACAGCTGAGAACATAGCACATAAGCCGAGTAGCCAGGAGTACAACGAAACTCAATCTGGGGTTTGATACCCCAATTCTTACAAAATGCTGGCCCAATTTGAAGCTGAGAGCGTCTCTCGGCTGTTCGATTATTATTTCATGGATACTCGCATTATTAGTCATAGAGGTGACAAGTGTATACACGCAATCACAGAGAAAGCAAGAGCTTCTGAAACGCATGGTTTCTGTCCTGGAAGCACGATCGTGTGACAACAGCCAATAGTACAGCCCTTTCGGATCCAATAGTATATGTTCCCCAAGATGCAAGCCCGCCAGAACAGAGAGGAGTCATTTCGAGAGTCGAGTTGATAGTGCTGGGAAGGATGTAACGGAAGCGCTGAATAATTCGATCGGCAGCTTCTTTTGTCGTGGACGTGCATTGTTCACAAAGATCAAGCTGTATCGTATCTTATTAGTGGCTGACTGTGCTCTTCCAATAGTAGACTGGAACATCACCTAAAAAGCTATTAAGCAGTCATACAGTATTGATTTTTTTCCGGAGGTTGCAATTTCTTCACCCTACGAAGTCTGTATATATCCTCCTACATCCGGAGCATCAAAGTTTACGGGAAAGCAGGCAAGTAATCACGTCTGCTTTGTAACAGATTCTTCTCCTGGTGGACTATCAGAACGTTCGATGATATCCACACCGTAGGATCACGGATGCGAACGCGTATACACAACGAAGATGGGGAAAACGAGAGCTTCTGAGACGCACGGCTCCCGCACCGGAAACACGTTTACGCGACGGGAATCAATGAATTAGTGCCGTAGGACCCACAAATAGACAATGCCATTTCGAGCTGCAAGTCTGCCAGCACAGTCAGGAGTCGCATTTGTTAGGAGACAGGAAACTTGACAGCGCTACAAGGGTCTGAACAGCAAACGGCGACAAGCACCCGGTTTTTCGTCTTTCCTGTCTGCAAGCAAGAAGGCTCGCGTGGAATTTGCCGAGCGAGGACGCGCAAAATCGGAGTCGCCTGGAAAGGGAATAAAGTGCTTATTCAGCTGATTGATTCCCCGACTTTCTCAGGTCGTCTTCGCGCAAGTTTCTCGTGCTCATCCCCCTCTTTGTTCTCCACCTCTGCTGGTCTTCACCGCCATCCACCATCGTCCGCTCCTTCAATCCACGTCGTATGGGCCATTAACCACCCCCTGTGCTTCAAGAACTGTAAAAAGTGTCGATCTTTGATCCGTGTAAATCCGTATAAGATGGCCGATACGTCTACTTGTGAGTATATTCACTTTTCTCGGTTAGAGCGGGCATGCACGATGTCGGGAACACTGCTTTTTCATGATCATTGGTGCCGTAAATATTGGACTCGATAGTTGTTAAGAAGAAAGTTAGAAGGGAATACCAATTTTGCAGGGGCTGCGGGCGGATGATGAACAGACTAAGATGCAGACCAGTATACTGATGATCTGTTGTAGCTACCCCGACTCTACTACCACCAATAGGTCCTCCAACGTGAGTGCTAATATCCCTTTCCTTGTAATCTACCATGCCAATAGCTGAGCAAAATGTTCCACCACTACTGGATGTTTCTGTGGGGATTTCTGTATTAACCCCGCTATCTGACAAACATGATCCTCCGCTTCCGACTTCAAATAGCTCGAGTACAACGACGACGTCCACGACGACTTCGTCCACCTCATCGACAACCACACCGCCGACAACAACCACTTCATCGACGACAACATCATCGACGACGTCTACGAGCAGTACTGATACCACATCCAGTACAAGCAGCACTACCAGCTCATCCACTACCTCAAGCTCTTCGACCAGCTCGTCGACCAGCTTTACAACTAGAATTTCAACAGGCAGTGATGGAGGAACAACAACGGTTGTCGTTGTCGATACTTCAACTCCTTCGGCGACTCGTTCGGCTGTATCCGACTCCAGTTCCGGTGGGAAGTCGTATGTCAAAGCACTCTTTCATCTTGCCTACGCGTCTGACGGTATTTTGCCAGTTTCTTTGACAATAAAGGTGCTGTGGCTGGTGTTTTCACAGTCGTTGGGCTTGTGGTTGCGGTCCTTATTGTCGTGCTTGCTACAAATGCTATACGTCGTCGTCGTGCAAAGAAGTTCGACGATGAAGTGGCAGCGGCAGCAGCAGAGGCAAGTGCGTCGCCTCGTTATCCCTTTGATGACTACGACGATCCTGCGCCTGGTGGTGGAAACTATAGCGCATACTCTGACCCCGAGAGTCACGGTACATTATCTCAGGCTCCGCTGACCCATACCGGTGAAAGTTATAATATGAGCGAGTTTAATGGTGGATACCCGTCCTACGGTGGGGCTACAGCAGCTATGGGAACAGGCGTCAGTGCGGGAGCCGCGGGTATTGGTGCCAGCCGGTCTTTAGCAAGGCGAAATACCAATCCAAACGGAGACTATGCTGATGTCGGAAATGCGAATATTGCAGGCTTTGGCGTGAACCAGTCTTCGACGCGTTCTGCTGCAAGTCATGCGGCGCCATATAACGCGTTTGCTGGTCCACTTGGCGGATTCCCGAGTGATCCGTACGACCCATACACTGCAGGTAGTTACGGTATTAAGCGTCAAGGAAGCCGTAACGGTAATGACCTCCTTGAAGCGGCTGGAATTGGTGCCGGCGTCGGAGCTGGTGCCGCAGCAGCAGCGAACCATGCTCATTCCCAGAATACACAGCAATCTTCGCTGGATCGGAAGCATTCACAGGGCACGCAACGCACGTTGTCACCGGACAACAGCAAGAGCATTGCCACTGGTACGAGCGGTGGTACGACACAGGAGTCGTACGCTGCGCACTACCAGCCAGACTTCCGCCCTGATGAACACCAGTATCAGCCGCAGACGGGTGCACCGGCTGTTCCACCTGCTGTTCCTGCTGCTCCTGCCACTGATCCGCTTCCTAATCCATTTGCGCGTGATGGAGGCTCGGACGAAGATGCGTACGGAGTCGATAGTTATGTTCCCGCTGGGCGGAATTCGCCTTCTCATGATGAAAGTCGAATGAGTATCCGCGACGAAGAAGACTATGGACGGGCCGGGAGGACGCTCAAGGTGAATGAGCATTTGAATGTGTATACCATGTAATTGCTAACCATTTCACAGGTTGCAAATGAATAATAAATATGCCACCCCTATCTATTTATTTCGCTTTATGCCATGTTCCTTTTACGCTGATGGTATTTTATTCTTGTCTATTCATCACCAACTGCGTCGCTCTTTATTTGGACGTTGACTGTACTTTTTGAAGCCTTCCCTCCATTATCTCAGCAAAACTTATAACCGTCCTTCGTTGAGCATCCAATCCTGCTTACGTTGAAGGAACTGTCGCTACCATGCGACGCTGTCGTGTATTCTCCTACCATCGTTTATTTTTCACGTGTCTGCCATTCCGTCGCCGCCCTGTTCATCATTACCCTGTTTTGTGGATTTATTCCTCTTTGTTTCGTTCCCATTCTGCCATGGAACTTTCTCGCGCTGTGCTGTTGCTCATCGCTGCGTAATCCTATACGTGGAGGTGTGAACGATATGGTACATCCCGTATAGCGCAGAACCTTTACCAGTATCCCGCCTTTTGAACATTCTTCTTCATCCGTAATTCTTATGCTTTGGTATTGGACATCATAAGAAGTGTCTTCGCGTTCCATGCTTGTTCGTTGGGTTGGTTTGTAATGTGCTGGCCCCCTTACCTCCTGTGACTTTTGTGTAGGATCAAATTGTCACTAGAGGTTTTGTCACTCTTTTTTCGCAGGATTTATTCATGTCGTGACAGACCCAGGAGTTCTTCCATTTGCTAGCGTCGTGGCGTTGGCTTCTTGGTGCAGTATGAATGACGGCTAACTTACGCCTTAGGAGCGCAAGGTTTGGGACCGACTAGTGAAGGGATTCTTATTGTCTCCGAAGTTCTCCTGTCACTTACCGGCCAACTCGTTCTCCTCCTTGTTTATTACGACGACGATCCTCTAGAACGCCGTGCTCAATCACCTCGGGAGTACCTGGATATAGGTTGACTCTATTAAGGGGTGCTAATAGTAGTCCTAGAGACTCCGAACTTATCCGCTTTCTTTACACTTTTTTGCCACATGCACTCCGTACTTCGCCTCTTGCCAGACACAAGGCTGGTCTTCTTGTCTTCGACTCTCAGACTGTCCTACAAGTGCGGAATTTTCCCTGTGGTCAACTTTTGTTGCTCGGAATGGATCGAAAGTCTCACAGATGAGGATAAACCATGGGTGGATCATAGCTTCGTTGAAGGGTGAACCGCCAGTTAGGCTCACTTCACGGAATAATTCAACTTCGGCTCGTAGAAGCACAAGAGTGGCTTGCCTGCTGCATTAATCGTGGAGTTGTCTCTTGGTTTATCCTATCACTTTTCAGTGCGAAATGTCCTATCAGTGACGTGCTCGTGTTCTCAACTAAGAATCTAGATGCGTTTTGTCCGGTGTTTCTTCCTTTGCACCTACCTGACTTATGGACGGCTTCGTTTTCTCCCGCGAGCCTCTCTTCAAGCGCACAAACAAGGTCATATGGTCCTGTAAGTCCTCACTACTCCTTAATCGCTTCGAGGGGGCCCTTGATCATCAAAGTTCCCTCTCTTAGGTTCCCTTCGCAGTTCGGCTTATTGCGGTTATTAGTGGTCCATAGGATCCGTTGAGTGTTTAAGGCTATTAACCTTCATTTGAATTTCGCATTGTTATAGTAAATTTTAAATTGAAATTGCGATTGTGCGTTCATTGGTGTACACGGCACGTGGTAGACCAATAACGAAGCCACCCTTGTTGACGGAGTATTACAAGGTGAGTGACATTCGTGTACAAGGACACGAATGTGGTACACGAAACTTGTTTCTGTTCGAGCGCCGAACGAGCGCGGAACTACTTACAAGCGCCGATATACGTAAACTTCACCCGGCACGTTAAAGGAAAGTTCATCCTTTTATGCCGTTTCCCGAGAAATGGGATCCAGGTTCTTTGCGTCGGCAAATGGAGTACGGCGTACACTAAAGGACCGGCCGCACGCTGCAGCAGTCACTCCTTCACACGCGTTTTAGGAGAGCGTTCCGAAAGCGAGACGAAACTGTCGTTATACGTGCAATTAGCCGGTCGGACCGGCCTGCTTCGTGCCACCAAGTTTGTCTTGACAAGCCTATTTCGCCTTTCATTGACGGTGTCTTGTCACTGACGGCTATGTCCTTATTCTATAAATGTATAGCCTCCCACTCCTTCGAGTTCTTGAGACTAAGTCGTGGCCATCAAGACTGTTGTGACATTCCTATTTCGGCTTTCATTTGCAGTCTTGTCATTGACAGATACGTCCTAATTCTAAACGAAGGATATCCTCCCGTTCTTCTGAATTGTAACAGGTAAGTTGTTGAATTGGTCCACCGTAGATCCCTACCTCCTAATCATTCTTTCACACTGACACTCTTAGTCCTGCTGAAGAGGAGTGCTTCCTCTTCGTCCGCGGCGACAGCCGCTATAATGAATAGCTTACACCCGCTCTGGATCTTGATTGACATTAATATTAAGTGTGCTGCAGATCTCGGGAGAGATGCGTGCTTTTGGCTCATAGTTTCCGAGGTCCGGCACACATTTGTGCCGGCTAGAAGAGGGCAATTGAACTTTTGGGTACATAGTCTGGAGGTGCTGTATACCTTTTGAGGTTACAATGCAGCCTAAACACGTTCGTTATTCTAGCCTTACGGGTTTAAACAAAGCCGAATTTATCCGACTACAAAACATGTACCTTCCAGTCGACAAACGTGAACCGAAGTGGATCCATGGCAAAGGTAAGCTGCCACGACTACTACAAGACGCGTCTTCACTGCTCGTCGATACCTTGCAGATCTGGACATTTGAAGCCAAAAAGGATGAGTCCTGGCTATAGTTGTTTCCGAGAAATCCGGCGTATTTAGAGTGAGAAACTTGGTGTGGTCGAGGCGGGAGGCAAGCGGTCGTACGACGCTCGACAATGGAGATCCTTGATGTTCTCTTTGTTCTCTTTGCTGATCTCTTAGGTGACGGGGCAATAGCGTCTGGTAAATTCCGCCGTCTCTGAGAAATGGAATGCAAATGGCTAGGCGGAGGCGACTAGAGGTTCACTACTTGCGAAGTAACAATGCTGCGTAAGCAACGCTTTTTCCCACACCTCCGAGGATTCCCTGAGAAGCAAGACCTAGGATATGCCCAGATCTGTCTGTCTCTTTCATTCATTATTGTTGACTTCATTCCACGCATGCAAATCAGGTCAGTCCGTGCGCCTGCTTCATTGTCGTGCTTCACGAGTCGACACAAAAATGCCCTTAATGTCGCACGTGCAGTGAGATCAGCTCGAGTATGATGCATGACGTGGGCGTCTATAAATATGCTAATAAGGTGAACAACTACTGCTTGGATGTGGCCCGACTTTGCGAAGCATAGGAGTCAATACTACCTGCTTCATGGACGATCCGGACGCTTTCGAGCTTTTCCCCATTAGCAAGTATTGGCGTTCGCCTCCGCGGCAGGAGTTCCGAAGCCTTAACCAGAGCCATGTAGCAGGGATCATCGGAGTGCTTGCAGCAAAGTATGCTGACCATTCAGGAAATATGGTCACACTCGGAGACATGAAGGCAGGAATTTAGTTGATCCCCATCTCCACTTAACTGGCTATTGATCCGCTAGGCAGATGTATCTGATTCGTTCTTGTCACAAGGGTGTTAATCGATTTGCCCTTGCGCATTCTATCCAATCGAGTCACCTATTTACACGTGGACCACGTCAGTCATGCTAATGCAAAGCCCCAAGATAAGTCTACTCTACTTTCCATTCATGGTTGGTTTACTCACAGGGAACTTATAGCATAGACGGAATGCTATGTACAGAGCTTGCGTTTCAACTGACCATTGATCCGGAACGTGACGGTCTCGGAGCAAATAAGAAAATAGAGTTAATGAATAACGATATCAATGCTGCCAATGCATGCATGCGTTCGGCATCCTCGGACAGCTTATTCTTTGTATTCCCTACTTTTCTTTCTGCACGTAGCAATAAGCTCAAGCGTAAGTAGCAGCATAGAATACAGTTTCTCCGCAGCTTATCAGTTTCTCGTAATTTTAGAGAAAGTTTACGAAGACGAAACAACATGACTGGGTGAGCATATGGTCGCCCGCAACTCAAAGGATTTTCATTGGTGGCCTCGCTATAAATATTGATGCGGAGAGGTATTCTCGGTCCTTGTCAATAAGAAAATAAAAATAGGTGCGTCGAGCCTTTACGGCAGTGATAGGACCAGAAGTTTACAAAGAACAATGATTAATGACACTCTTTAATTTTAAATTTCTGCACTTGTTCTACCCACGTACGTACGTGCGCTCAAGTCAACATCTGCGCAATTATCCGCCTCCGTTGATCAGGAACGCGCGCACGTATTCAATTGTACTGATGTCAGATGAATGGTGGTGATGTTGATCCTCCTCCGTCCGTCGGAAATCATATCCAGCACCGGGTTCTCGTGAATGTACCAAACGGAGCGGCTGAAGACGAGAGAGCAAAGCTACACATCATCCTTCTCTTCCTACTCCGAGATCCAGTGGCATACTACCTCCGAGGCTCTATCCGACCATCGAGGCAGGAGCTCGATTCATTTCCGCGTTGAGTCGACAACCAGGATCATGCGTCCAAGGAGTAGCGTTTATCCTGGTGCCACCATCATTCTGGCGTTTCCTCATTTCCTAAACAAACGTACTCTGGTCAGGGTGCACTTGTCTATGTGGCTTATGATGTGAGCGCACATCCTTACGGAGTACCCGGGTCTCCGCGACTTTCAAAGACAAAAGAAAACAATGCTTCACAGACGCTTTTGAAGCGCTTTGCGCCAATCACTCGTACCTTCTCTCTGTCGGAACACTAGAGGAAAAACTACACACAACCAAATACGCGCAAACAGAATAAGCCGAGCGGACCGCCAACGACGGCAACATCCGACTCCGAGGCCGAGATGTATGGACCATGGACCGATGCCGATCTATCATCCGAGGCCATGCGTTCCGCTCCACCAAGCAATCCTGCTTTATAAGAAATCCGTTTCTTTTTCCGTCAAAACATATTACACACTGTTCGGACAAGTTTAGCAACTCCGAGCTCCCCGTGTTATATGTTTTTAAGGCTGTGTATTAACATTACACTTTGTGACGCCGGAACCGAGAAGGCTGGTTACTCCGGTGCCAAGAGTGCAATGTATCTGTGGTATCTTACACTCTTCCTGTCACCATAGTGTGCCATGAAAACGTGGCTGTACTTACATGAAAAGTGGCGCCTCGGAGTCTGTTAGTCGCGGGGGACGAAGTGTCGGCATCGGAGCCGCAGAGGAGACGGCACTGCACGGCACTGTTAACAGATAAAGGCTCGGCATGTTCAGCGTCTGTAGAAGAAATTTTGCTATTGATCATTACTACAGCAAATGGTTTTGCTAGAATCTTAATACTGAAAAGTTATGGGGAGGACCGGCGGATCTCCAGCGCCTGTAAGAAGTTTGTGGTAATCAAGAACTCTCACTTCTCATATGCATCTTTGCCATCCTTTTCTTCCTCCCTTTTGATAAGGTTATCTCCCTTTCTGGATTGCTTGCTCCTGGTGTATGAGCTGTTAAACAATGTATAAACAGAATTATTTCCAATAATCCATTCTCGCTACTTGTGAAACAAACACCCAGAACTACACTATCCATTCCACCTACCAGCGTCAACACTTAGCTTTCTCCTTGTCGCAACCTCTTCCTCCCTTTTGATAAGGTTATTCCCCTTTCCGACATGCATTTTTCTGATCTAGGAGACAGAGGCATCGCATACCTATTACCGCGATAATTCATCCTCACTACTTCAGTGCTCGGAACTACATCATCCATGATTCCATTCCACCCAGCGTTAACACTTTAGCTTCCTCCTTTTCGCAACCTCTTTCTTTCCGTCTCTGCCTTCCTGTTCTCGCTCATTTTGACAAGTTTATATCCCTTTCCGGCTTACATTTTTCTGATGAATGGAACAGAGGCATTATATAGTAATTACCAATAGTCCATTCTCAATCATACTTGAATGCTCGGAACTACAGTATTCATTCCACCTTCCAGTGTTAACAGTTAAGTTTCCTCCTTTTTGCTTAAAAGGAAACAAGGACACCAAAAACTGGTATCGATAATCTTCCTTATTCTTCATATTACTATGATATTACCTGCTCGGAAGTCATCAATGGTATTTACTATCCACCTAACATCCATATAGCCTATCCCATAAACATAGAAATAGTATTACCTACTACTATATAGTATAATATATACAATCTAGCTATCTAAATAAAGTTTGTAATTAGCAAGAATAAACACTTCTGTCTGCTCATCAAGCAAATTGAACTGATGCTGAGATATCTTGCTTGGAGGACCTGAATTGCAAAGTAATTAATAAAATAATAAAATAAAAATTAAACTTGGACTGTCCGATTGTTTGAAAGTTTACACGCCTGACCTACACATACTTCTTCCATCCAACACCGTTCCGTACCTTACAAGCATCAATGGACAAAACAAATGCCACGCACGTCTCCCAATCCTCTGTCCCTCCATCCCATCACGTCAAACTGTCAAATCAACACATCAACTAGCGTGTACTCTTTCTCCCCCTACCTTCTCATGATTCCGCTCTGGTCCTGTATCATCATAGAGCTTATATGGATGGAAAACGTTAAATCCGGACAATCTTTGTCCCTCTACTTTCCAGACCAGGCGTTTTGTTTAATCTTCTTCGAGCGCTGTACTTTCGCACATCACCGAAACCACAATCACTACTGTATGTGTATGCGTTGCATTGACTATTGTATTTGCATTGTGATATGACAGATATTGAACAAAAGAGAAAAAACTAAAGCGAGTGATACGAAGTACACCAGCCCCAAAAAAGAGATTCTTACACTACTTGACGAGACGAGAGACGATGGACGAGATGAGATATATCAACAGGGCAGGAAAAAAAAATAAAGAACGCGAGAAAAGAAGAATTAACAGACAATCAGGTACAAAGAGACAAGAGAAACAGAAAAAAGTAGACCCAGTGAAACGAAACACCGAGGAGAAGAAGGGGGAATACGTGGTGGTGAAGAATAAAGGACCCTTAATGTACAACCGTGAGAGAAACATGAAAGATAAGAAAGTAAAAAGTGATAAAAAAGGAGACCTTTGTTATTTGATCGGGTGAACGAGTGAAGAACGGTAATTAGCGTGTGAGGAGAGGAAAGTACGAATAGGTACCCAATAAACTAAATCAAATATCAAATATCATGTATGACGGGGTGAAGAAGTTGAAGACGATAAAGAAAGGTCTCGAATAAACTTCTGAAATGAAAGCAACTTGCGCAAGCGAATAGAATAACATACAGTCTTAATCGAAAAGAAGTATGAAAAGAAGCAACGTCAATCGGAAAGGTGCGCGGAGTTTGGCAGTGATGTTCGTGGTGCTTGCCTTGTATACAAACTGTATACACTGCGGCGGAGATAGATAGGCACCGACCGGACCATCCCGGCAAATCAACGGTTGACGAAAAAGAAGGGCAAAGGTGATAATGAGAGGAGCTAAAATTGTTAACACCTAGTCCTTGAGAAGGTCGAAAATAAATGACAAAAAATGTCGAAGGCACGAACAGAGCGGGGGACTAAAGCTGCCCGCTATGTATTTGCGCCAGGCCGGAATGACAGCAGCTCAGAAGAATCTCGGAAGATAATCAGACCCTCACTCCGGTAGGAGTTGCAGTGCTCCCGCGTGGAGAGACGGAGACTCGTACTTGGTCATGGCGGGAGGACTGCTGTAAGCCGTCGCCGGCGTGAGCGCCGACGTGGGCGTAGGAGGGTGATGCGCTGCCCCCGGACCCACTCCCTGATGCTGGACTTCGCCGTCCGAACGAAAGCGTGCTTGGTGAGCGTGGGGAGGCGGAAGCGCGCTGTTGTTGTTGGCGTTGCCCGGGGCTGGAGCGGCGAGGTAAAACCCCTGCTGCTGCGCCGCCGCCTGCGCCATAGCGACGTACCGCTGTATGTAGTCCTCCCCCAGGCCCATCGAGGCCATATGCGAAGGGGCTCCCGACTGGAGATCCGCCTGGCGAGCTTCCGCCCCCTGCTGCTGCTGTTGAAGCTGTTGTTGTTGCTGTTGGGAGTGCTGCTGCTGTTGGTGCTGCTGACCCTGTAGGTATTGCTGCTGCTGCTGCCGACTCTGCAAGGGCTGCTGCTGCGCTTGGGGATGCGAATTCGACCCGGCCAGATGCCGTTGCTGGTCTTGAGCTGCCTGATAATGGTAGAAAAGCGGACCCTGCAGCGTCGGCGTCATTGCAGAGCTCCATGACGGAGAGCCGTCGAGACTGAGGCCTGCTTCCGGTCCCGCCGTAGTCGTACTCGCCGCGCTCCCCGGCGGCGGTTGAGGGTGTGGGTGGCGGCCGGGCCGCTGAGCCGCCGCCTGTGGTGGCATCATCCCTGACGTCGACATCGCTGTCGATGTCATCGTCGGACTCGGACCCGTCGTCGCCGCTGTATGGCCGCTTGCGAAGGCGAGATGTTGCTGGCGCTGCTGCGCTTGGCCCGGAGTCGGCGAGCGAGGGAGGGTGGAAGGAAAAGGGACTGTCGTTTGCGCCCGAGCCATACCCGTCAGGCGGGCTCGGTGGGTACCCGTATGTTGCTGCGTGAGCATATTCTCGCTGGCTGCGGGCGAACTCGTACGCTGGCCCTGGTGCTGCTGCTGCAGGTCCTCCCAGCTCTGTTGTTGTTGTTGCTCCGTATACGGAAAGCTCTGGGACAGCGCCCAGCCCTCCACCTGGAGGGCCCCGAGCTGCAGATCGTCCGCTGCCGAAAGATGACCGGTGGGGGAGATATGCGTAGGTTGCCGGTGCTGTTCCCGGTCGCCGTGCGTCTGTGCCTGCTGAGCTGGGGGGTAACTGAAGAACGGCAGGCTGCCGGCCGGGTGCGGCGATGGATTGGGGGATAACGGCAGAGATTGGCGGGAGTGGGGTGCGAACATTGGATGCTGCTGGGACTGCTGGTGCTGATGATGTTGAAATTGCTGCTGCTGTGCCTGGGTCGGGACCGCTTGAAGTGGGTGGCCTACTGCGAGATGATGACGGGCGGCCGGATGCGAGCTCGGCGGGGGAGGGGAGAAAGGGCTGGGAGGCAAGAAAGGACTGGCCGGGTTGTTGGAGTTGCTGTTGTTGGTGTTGGAACTGCGCGCTGGGTTGTGAGTTACGAAAGGACTGGTGGGAGTCACGAAAGGAATGGCCGTCGGCGGGGTGATGGGCGGCGTAGGCGGAAGACGGTACGCGCTGCTGCTGCTGGATGTGCTGTCCGGACTGCAGTTGGAGTTGTTCCTGTGCATGGTAGGGTCGAGCTCCAGAGTGGGTCGACGAAGGTGGTGCATTTGCATTTGCTGCATGATCGAGTTGCTGCCAAGATGCTCTGTGACCGAAAGACGGCGCAGAGCCAGAGGAGTCAGGACCGACGTCGTAACCGACAGAAGTGCCAGGGCGCTGCTGACCGTAATAGTTAGCTGAAGACAGAGTGCGGTGCATCTGCATCTCCTCCACCTTTACGCCATTGTTTACACTGCTGCTCCCCATACCGAGCGAGGCAGCTTGCGATGCGTTGGCGGCGGCCGACGCGGGCGTTGCGAGCGACTGTTGAGAGCGCTTGCCGCGGGATGTTGCAGCCTTGTGGGCGGCGGCCATGGACGTGTGGAGGGCGGTGAGCTCGCGCATCATGCGCTCGTTGTCCTCCGGCTTGTCGGAATGGACTGTCTGCGCATGTTGGCGCAGGTTGTCAAGGCGCGAGAACTGCTTGCCGCAATGACAAGTGAAAGGGCGCTCGCCAGTATGTTTCCTGGAAAAGACGCGTCGGGAAGAGACAGCATAGTCAGTTAAGCATGCTCAAGCTCAATGAGACAGGAGGAGGCAGGAGTCTAATTTTTTCTCTTTTTCGCCTCCCGAGTTGCCCCCTTGGTAAAACTCGGTAGACAGAGGGAAGGGAAAATACGTACCTGACGTGTCTAGCAAGATGCTCGCTCCTGCTGAAAACCATGTGACAGTCCCCGTAGCCTCTGCATTGGAATGTCTTTGCAGGCGCTGCACGGTAGCGTTTTGCGACGTTGGCGTCTCTGGACGTTGGATTTGAGGGCGGCGGGGCGGCGGGAGCGGAGACCATGTCGTCCTGCTGAGTGCGGGAGAGGATGTCTTGGTTAATGTCGTGGCCGCCGTCGTCTCTGTCGCGGGGGATGTTATGGCGGAGGGGGTCCATTATGGGTTGAGAGTGAGGGAGAGACTGGCTGGCGGGATCTGGGTCGTTTTGAGCGAGCGGAATGCGCCTTCTTATCAGGCACACTACAACTCAGGTACTCCTTACTCGCCCGTGGGAATCCTCCTGCTATGGGCCGTCGACCCGGCTATTCACTGCCTCATTCGGGGCGATTACGCGAAAATCTTGATTCAGGAACACAAAAATGCCCTTTCCGATCTCATTTTCTCAATCCTGTCACCGTCACGCTCTTTTACGGCATCTCTCCCTCCAGAGACGCTCGCTCTGTCCTCTTTCGTTTGTGTCCGTCCGCCGTTCATTCCAAAGTCGTTTCCGCCCGGGTCCCGGCCTTCTTCCTCGCCCTTCCCTATGGCGTTTCTAAACATACTTTCCGCTCCGCTAAACGTGTACCGTCTGAGTCGAATCGCGTGCGGCCTGTCGCACACGCCAGCGCGGCGGGACATTCTTTCCTGCTGCCTGCCAGCACAGCAGGCAGTGCCAGTAGTACCGGGGAAAGAGCTCTCGGTCGGACTGATCAGCAGGGTCCAGGCCAGACCGTGTCTCTCATGGACCACGTGGACAAGCTAGACCCGCGTCGACGCATACATTCACATCCCGCTGTGTGTCCGAGTCCGAGACATATCCTTACTTTACTCACACACACATCACATACAGTAGTGTTTACTTTGACGCGCACATCCGCCGCGTCTCTTGTTTTCTCCAGAAGCACGCAATGAGTGAGTCCCGTCTGCTCCCGCACCGAAATCACCCAAAACCGTATCTTGCCTCTATCTCGTCGCATCTGCCCCTGGTCTGACAAGCACCGCCTCCTTCTTGAATCTCCCTTTCCCATTCCATTCATTCACTCCGCCCGCTATAGTGTTCCAGAACATGGCCGACACTACTAGCGTACGTTAATGTCATTCCTATGCATGAAACAATCTGCCATTGCAATTCGATAAACATTCTCCAACAAACAACGATCTGCCACAACCATATCACCACAATTATCACCACCCGGCGCAATCTTCCACCCGCCTCCGTCCGTACTCTTCGCACACCTTGCGCGTGTTCTCGCACACTCTCACGCTCAGACGATCGTTCACTCAATCCCATTTTCGGTTCGTTCGTTCATTAGAATCATTACACAAACAACTTTGCTTCGTTCGAGACCTGCCTTCTTCCCAAAAACTCTCCGCAAGTCTGATCGATCGAACTTTATATCCAAGTCTAGTCTCAGTCTCTTCTGCTGTCTGTTTCTGTCTGAATGGCGGACTGGATGGCTGGCTGCTGGTGGCTGTAGCATCATTTACGACGTTTACGGAATTGTTGTGGCACAGTCAATATACTAGGAGGGCCGCATTGAAGATTAACACAGCCATCTTATTTATTTGTTTATTTTTCTGGACCTGGTCTAAAGTAACGTTTGTTGCCCTGACTAACCTATTGCTTGACTGTGTACATCCTGCCCTGGCCACTGCTTTGCTCGTCTACGCCCAAGCAAGCACGAGAGCTCTCGTCTTTACGTCGACTACTACCTGACTTACACACTTGCTTTCTGGCTGAACTTAGTTCATACACCCGTTTCTCTTCGCCCGCAAACCCAGTCTCCTTCGACTTCCATGCGAACCGTAGGCATACATCGTGCTAGCTGACGACAACAATTATAACACTCTCTTCGACCTCTTCAACCCATACACCTGCATTACGGCCCGGTTTAATTCATACACCCGTATCTCCCCGCCCGCCAACCCAGCCTCCTTCCACTTCTACTGACAACAATAACTACTACAATGCTGGCTGTGACCTATCCTCGCCCCACACCCGATTTACGGTCCAGCTTAATTCATACACCCGTATCTCTCCGGCCAACAACTTACTCTTCCCGGCCCACCAACTTAGTCCCCTTCGACTTCCACACGAACCGCGGTTATAACCCACACAAGCTGACGAGACAACAGCCCGCATGACCTACCTCATGAATCCTTTTTGATCGCAGGCAAGTAAAGAAACGCCGAGTTTTTGTTCGATGACGAATAGACAAACTTTGGATGAACTTTCCTGGACACTCACACGCACGTCGTTCTGTTCTGTTCTTTGCTCAAATGTGCTCATGCTTCACTCTGCCGTAGTTGGTCCGTAAGCCAATAATTGTATGGAGAAGACGAAGACCTTCGTTCATACGGTTTAGTTTTGGTCCAGAGTTCGGTTCGCTCGTCCTTTCATTCCTGCACGAGTAGGCAAACTTTCTGGGTCACTCTTGAATGCCGTTACTAGCTTACAGGGCCAACTGAAGTGGCATGACTCATGAGTGTAAGAACAGGACAACGTGTGTGCGGCGAAGAGGAAATCGTTCATTCATCTAGTTCGGTTGGTTCGTCCTGGTTATTCCTGCCTTTTCTGTCCCTCCGCTCCCTTGACCTTCCCTTTTCCCTCCCTCCTTCTCCCTTCTCGACTGTTCACCCGCGAGCTAGTTGTTTCCCGTCTCCCCCTCCATGCCGTATGTCACTCCTAGTTGACTACTAGTGCCACTCCGCTCGCCTTCTTGTTCTCCCGTTCTCTTCCCCGCCCTTTCTTAACCATCTCTCGTAAACCTCACTCAATTCATCTGTATTCTTGACCACAGAAGTAGGACCAGCGTCCGGAGTCTCCTAATAGGTCTTCTGGTCCCTGCATACCCTACCGAATGTATGGCGGAAGCACAGTGATAGCATTAGCTCTAGCTCTAGTACAAGGTACGGAATAACAGGAGGTTGGCTTCACGTTAACTTACTACCTAACTAAAACAACACGTTTTCCTTTCTTGATTCGTTGCCTTGCTGCCCCTCTTCTTTCTTCCGCGGCTCTGCTCTCACCTTATTTTATTAATCTTTTCCTTTTCTTTTTTCGTTTTTGCCCTCCCTTTATCCAGTAGAAACTCCCCCCAGCCCTCGTTCTCTCCTTGCCCGCCTGTATACTATAAAGGGACAAATATAATTTTATACAAGGCCGAAAGTAACCTGAAGAATTCCCCTTTCTTTCTTGGCTCTTGTGGATGTATGAGTAATGGCAATGCTACTGACAGTGTATGACGCTTAATACTAGTAGACCGATTGCTGACAACGGTTGACTATTGATTACCTGCTGCATTACAGCACTCTGTGACTCCTCGGCGACTTCCTTCTTTGTATATACGGATTCCAGTATACAAACCGACTGTAACACCACAGAAACTATGCATAAGTTTCATGGGAAGACCATGTGTACATACCTCCTGATACATGATAATGATACACGAACCTTATGCTTATTTGTGTGTATGTAAATGATTAGGTATGTTTCCCATCGTGTCGGCTTTGTGGATTTGGGGTGGACGAGAGGAATGGGAATGGGAAGCCGAAATGAATGTGTGTAAGTTAAAACTTTTCATATGTGTTATAAAAAAAGTTGATTGGTACTTTGTGTGCTTTAGGATTGGGAACATAAACGTTATTTTGGAGGTTGCAATTACAAAAGCAATGAATTGATTCTTTACTCGGGTTGATATGTACATGGAAAAAGTAAAGCTTAAATGAAATGTGCGATGTGTTCGGAGCCGTGGTGCTCTGTCACGGTCTTCCATCCGAATGTCCGTGTGTTCTTCCGCATGTGTTAAAGGCTATGTCGTGTGAGAGGGTCAGATTATACCACATGTTTTCTGTTCTGTACTTCCGAGGGTCTTGATACGTGTGTATGTCTGTATGTATTTTATCTCCACATTGTTTCCCATACCCGCGAAACCATCGGTCTTCTTTACCCTTCATATGTTTTAGGTGGATTTGCCTCCGAGATTCAGTACATGGCTAATCCCGTGCCTGAAATATTCTATACAGTTGTGTTAGTCGCTTCACGCCCGCTAGCAGCCGAGTCCCGCTTCCGAGGGAAACGACCCTCTAACCCTCCAACACTCGCGCTTCCGCCTTGGAACACCAGAGTAGACTAGGACACGCACACACGGAGGTCTTATCCCCGTACCCCACTCCACACCGAATATGTGTTGTATTCGGTTTCGGGAATGTACCGAACTGATAGAACCTCAAACGCATACATGGAGGCCTTGCGCCGTTCTCTACTCCACTTCACCATATTCCAGATACACACCTACCGTGGGTTTTGCTTTCAATCACATTCACAACTTGCTATCAGAACAGTGCTTAAAGCAGTATTGATCTGCTTCTGTCATATCTCCTGATATCCAATCATATCAGAAAAGAAAGTACACTACAGAAAACCCCTAATGACTAACCCATTCTTCTCTTCTTCCGAAGATCTTGATGTACCAACAATTCATGTCCGTCAGATCTTCCTATCTTCCTATATAGAAGAAAAAAGCCCCGTATGTTCCGTCACACAATTCATTTGGTTTAATGATCTCACATTTTAATTATTCCCCATCGCCGTGTCCCTGAAAGCTTTGTTGTGTTCTGTTTTGTATCAGTGTATGAATGTGGGATGTGTGTGCCTGACGACCGACTCGGATCAAAAGACGCACGATTGCGTATGCGTATGTTGTCTGCATATGTCGCGAAGTGACTATGAGATTCACTTCCGCGTTTCTATGTCTGTTTTTCCTAGCGTTGTGATATTCTTCGTATGCGCTGCTTTTATGTTTTGTCTACGTAAGACATGTTTGTCGAGATGACGGGTTTTTCCAAGGACCGGCGGCCCCATAATTACTCGTTGTGCCCTCTCGACCGGCGGGACTTTTGATCGGTGAAGATCAGTAACAACATTTAGGCTGTATAGTGAAGCGAAGTTGAGTACGAATCGCCGTCGCCATCATGGACCCACTTAACGACGAAGAGCTCATTTCGACCATTGCCTTGGCACTATTAATATATTACGAGTCGAAGAGTAATATTGCCTTCGATAATACACTATATGCATATACAATATTGATAATTAATGTCTCATAATCTACCTCCACCCTATTGCCTGTGTACCGACGTCGACGGCGCAATCACTCCTCATTATTACAATAAACTATTTTCTTCAACTCTCCATCCTTCATCAATGCCTCCACACTCCGGTCATCTGTGAACGCCGGCCGCTCATATCAAGTTATGTCTTCCAAACTCGGTCCAGAGTAACTTGGACGGAACTCTATCCTCTTTTTCCTTTATCCCTAATTTTCTGTACCGGATTAATCAAAACGTTGAGTGTCACATAGTTTCAACAAGAATAGGTTTTAATTAATATCGTATAAGTCACTGGTCAGGCAGGTCTGAGGGCTTCAAAACATCTTATTTTCTTGTTCTAAAATAAACAGATGTTCTATCTGTCAATCAGCCACAGTTGTATAATTCTTGATCTGCATCCATACGTATCCTTATCTTCAAAGGATTGATTTGATTTCCGAGGGCCGGGGATAAGGTTACAAGGAGTACTGGCAAGGGAAAACCGGGGAAAAAAAGAAGCACATTAGAAGATGTAGAGCTGTCAAATTTGAAGTTGGAAGCTCCAGGTTCAGGTCGACGGTCTGCGTTAGTCTGCATACGTACGTGCGTCTGAACTCATGCACCTCCATGCTCTCATCAGACACATGCTTTGATGTCCGGTAGAGGGCCTGGATCGGATAAAACTTATCTCTTTCGTTCGGTGTCTGTTTCGATGAAAATACTGATCAACCTGTGGACCTCTTTGTTGAGGCCACGTCCATCGGTATGCTCGCGTGAAACACCATCGTGGCTTGTCAGTGGCAGCTGTCAGACGTTATTTGTTCGTATGCCTGTCCACTTGTTTATTTGGCACAATTGCAACGTGAAACGTGCGATTTGTTCTATTTTTATCGTGGACAAGCGTGTGTATATCTCGTGTACGAGCGCCTAGATCAAGGCTGAATTTGATCACGGGTGATATGACGGCGGGAGCGAGTAGGAAAGCCTATCACGATGTGCCAAGGTACATTGTCCCGCAGGAACGCTTGAAGCGACGAACGAAGGTACTGGCCAGTGGCTTCGTCCGTTCGTTTCTTCTCGGAGGTCCGATGAATGAATTGGTGATTCTGCTCCTCACGATCTTTACGGGATGCGAGGAAGGGAAGTAGAATCAAAGAATCAGACCGACGATGAAGGTTTAGTTGAGCTGTATTCAGATACAGTGAACGTTACCTACTTTGTCGTCCGAGTTGCCCGCGATGTGGTGGCTGGACATTGAGAGAATTGCTGCAACTCTCAATTCTGGACCATCTAGACCTTGCAGTACGAAGTACGGGTTGATCACAAGTCAATGATCGAGAGCTTAATGAGAGGTTCGCGCTAACGCGAGGCGGAAGACGACCACAGCCTTGTACTTTGCTGCAACTTACTCATACCGCGCTGCTCACGGACACGTCGAACCTTCCCGTCGTATTTTTCTCATGAGCAATCGATTGTTCATTGCAACACTGAAATGAGTATGCTAATTGAAAATCAGAAAATCAAAAGCGGCCGCCGAAGAGTGAGAAATGATGCACGTCGAGGGAGGATGGGGAGCGCCTCAATCAAGACGCAGATCGCAATTATGATCACCAATATTTCCCCGCGCATCAGGTTCTTCGCTTTCCACCGATGCCAACATAGAGCAATCGAATGCACATACCTTCTCTTCTCTCCACCGTTTCCATCACACGCATAACAGCAGGTCTAGGGCCTTGGGGCCTGGATCATTTCTAACATCGCTGTCTTCCCTTCTGTCTTGAACGAAAGGAGGGATACGTTATCACCTACCTTTCCATCCATCTTGATTCAACCAAGAGATCTCCTAAACGCCGAGTCGGAGCAGGTTATAGCTGCGGATGAGTTTCGTCTCCGTCGTTGCTGTGCCAATAGTGTAGCTCGAAGACACGGCTGGAGTGGTCCAGACCACATGTCTTCGATCACATTCATCCGTAACGCATGCGGAGTTTCAATACTTTGACTATATTTGGAAATGCTAAAGCTTGACTTGGCGGTTTTCACTCACTCGCAAGAGCAAGTCGTGAAATTTGAGAATAATCGAGCGCTCTGGTCTGTTCGTTATGAGTAAAAATGCTATCTCGGGAGATGTAGGAACTGAACTCTGTTTTTTATACTATCTCTAAAGGAGAATGGTCTATAGGTAGGCAGATTAAAGAGGATTGAAGGATGAGTTCCGATGTTGCTGCACTGATCAGGTGTGGACGGACGTAAGGTCATGTAAGTTACGTTCTACGAGAACTTTGGTTAGTGAGGTACATGCTTGAAGTCACTTGTCAAAAGAAGATTTAGCAATCCAGCTGCTTACTGTGCTTGTATAGTTCAATTATATTATTATTAGGACAAACATGTCACTCAATGCTCTAGGGCACATGGAGAAAAGGTAGAGCGCAAAGTTCTTAAATGTTCCTGAAAGATAAGCCTTGCATTCTAAAGTATCATTGCAGCGCTAAAATAACTATTTGCAATATTATTTGTATTTCTTTTTTAAATACATAGTCCTCTAGTAACTCCCAAATACAGCTTTATTGATGCAAGGGTTCGATAAAAAATGCCACGAACGACACTACAGTTACTTTGTTTACTTCAAGTTTGTATTCCTAACAGGTAATATTTGAAACTGGTAAAGCAGGTCATTGTGATATTTGATATTACAAGGAGAGGGTTCAATAGTTCTTTAAAAACAGGCTGAAAACAAATGTTCTCTTAGTTCTTTCGTGTAAAGATCCTCTTTCTTACAATACTGAGGTCTGATGACTGATAGTGGCACTAACCGATGTCGAAATTGCACTTGTATTTGTTTTTTTATTGCAGAGCCACGACGTTAATTAAGGGGAACATTTTCTAAAAAGTATCTTTACCCATTTAGAGATTATACTTCGAGACGGAACGCCGGGTCGCTAAACGTTACTAGTCAATCTCGTCCCTGAAACTCCCCCAATTGCGTTGTGACGACCTACGACATATCGATCCAAGTTCAGAAAGATCGATTTCAAATTATTCGGAACGTTAAAGAGATGATAGACAAGTCGGACCGAGTCTTGCTGATAAATTAAATTTCTGTTTTTACTCCCACCGTAGCAAACGAATGTTTCGCATTGTGATGAAATGTGTGGCGCGGTCGATCCTTACGACTGCCCCGTTGTACGCGGGGTAGGCTGAAGTTGGCCGAATAACGCAAATGATTTGGGCCGAGTCTCTTTGATCTAGCGGATGGCCGCCGTCGGGTTTCGGTTGGACGCAGTCGGGCATGCCGGACCCGCAATGCAGTGCTGAGACCTTTGAATTGGATACTATCACGTGTCCAGCACGAGCTGGGCGGACGGTTTGGTGATGGAAGCCGGCAGATCATTGGACCCTGTCTGATTTACATAAAACCGCAAACAAGCACCGCCTTTTCTGCGAAAAATCAGGAAGTCTCGGCCCCGGAAAACGAGCCATGTCTCGCTGATTGAACGGCTTAGTCTGCGATTTTTTGCTGTACTGGGCGTATATCGGCGAAAAATGGATGAAGGCCAGACCTTTTGGACTCTGAGAATTCATCCTAATTCAATAAAAACGCCAATCATTAATTCACTACACGTACAAGATCGTTTGTCACCAAGTAAAAAACTCTCAGGAATTCAGCGGAACTCTCCTGCACGACTGCATACAGCCATTGATTGCGCGGCGCGACAATACCGCACGAATGTCCGGCAATCGCATTTCATTAACCCGAATCTTTCTTGTTTTTCCCTTGTGCAGTGCCAGGTAACTGTGGATTTCGATCGTTCCGCACGGAACATTTTGCAACAAGTTTCTTTCCCGCTATCGCACTCAATAAAGACGGGACATGCAAATCGGCATGGATCATGGATGCCAAGCATGTATGGGGCGGTACACGCTCTTTTCTCTCATATTGCAGGTATTGCTTGGTTTACTGCGACCATGTCCGGGAGAGGTCTAAGCCAGGAACAGGATGGACAGCGAAGTCGATCACGGAATGACAGAGTTCAGACCGTGAAATTGTGTTTTGAGTCGTTGATTCTTTTCTCCTGAAAGTCAGGCCCAGGTCCCGACGAACAGCACAGCCATCCTCTCTGTGTCCCTGCCGCCGGAAATGACCTTTTAGTCACGTGCGCTACGTCGGTAACTTGGAATCTCCGGGCCCCGCATTCGGAAGTTTCTTTCAGCGCAAGTTGCGCAGTACCAATCCAAGAATATGCTGGCATGTAGATTCGACCATCTACATGGTAAATTTCGACACATTTGCAGATGCCATAGATGGATCAGGATCAGCCCGAGCAACAGGAAGGAAGGACAGTGTCTATTCAGCATTCTGCAGCCAAGCAATCGAGCCGTTCATCTTCCGAGAGTGCTCTGTAGACGGCCATGGTCCCAAACAGGAGGTCCGGTATAATATATAACCGGTATGATCTTTTGCGGTAGAGATATCCCATTGCCACAACCCGATATGGTGAGCATAAACATTCCTTCCGGTGTCTGTTACGCACTAATCAGCAAAAAAGCGACAGTCCGACGCTGACTGAAGCATTAAAGCTTCGTATTCGAGTACTCAAGTTCCGTTAAATGTGGAGGCTAGGCCCACGAGCATCTTGAATTTAAACCTTAAGAAGACAGGCCAGGAAAGGGTAGCCTTGTTCTGCCGCCGAATCTGCTGGAGACGTGTTTTCACGAAGCTGAACACGGGGTAGTAATGAGCATGCGGCCAAGCTGCAACGCAGAATGATGTTCAGACTTTGCAAACAGCAAAGTAGGGTACGGGTCGAGGTGCCGAAGACGGCGCAGATGGACTGTGTTGAACCTTATCAGTCCGCACTGTCGGACTCCTGCCGTTTGGTATTAAAGACCATCTGACTTACCTTGGGAGGACATTGTCGCGTATAGCTATCTTTGTACTTCCAAAGTCTGAGCGTAATCAGACCTATTGGTGGTGCCAAATGCGGTTCAATCTTCCGCGGATCAAGGCTGAAAGAAGGAACCTTTCTCAGAGAGCGACGATCCAAACAATGAATAGAAACAGTAAATGGATGAATTCCATAAACATGCGTCAGAAATCCACAATCTGTACTGATCAATTGACCACTGTAAATCCACGCGGGAGTGCAACAGCTGGGTGCGGGATCTTCGACGCAAATAATTGAGTGGCCTTTAGTCGAAGGTTAAGCCGCCACAGATGTTCTTGAAATGGAAGGGTTTGTTCTCCACTGACTTCCAAACAAATCGCCCCAGACTGCCAAGATTTCCTTAGTGTATACCCCGTAGACAGTGCAGCATCCTTATCATATGGTCCATCGTCTTCGCATTGAAATCATGCATAATAGAAATAGGGAATACGTGTCTCCAAATATTAGCGGCACTGAGTTGAGCATGACGATTCAGAGGAAAGCATTAATATCACCTCTTGCACGAGAATAGTTTATACGGATGAACTCGGCAATACTTCCTCAAACCTAAGGTTCGGTCTTCTCGGTAGAACAGAAGGTCTGCACTCACACGATGTCACATCGGCGGTGCGGGTACATGTGAACAAGCGATCATCGTTCATCTTTTGCGACGGCACGGAAGCGGAAAACGTGGGATGCATGGTCGGAAAGACCAGCATCGTATGCACGTTATGATGAAGCGACAGCACGAGGCGGATACGTATGGAAATACTGCAACCACGAGCTCAAGAGAACCGATAGAGTGTCAGAGGGGAAGAGAGACGACGGCCGTAAAAATTATCCCGTAGAAACTCGATACGATTAAACTTTGTCATATTCGTGCTGCTCTGAGGATGGCTATCTAAGTACCAGTTTGGAAAAGGCTCCTGTCACAGCATAGAGTGACACAATCTCTTCGAACACTTGCGTTAAGTCGTCAGAAGAAGACCTAGATTGAATGGCGACGCAGGACCTACGAAAAACTGTACTCACGAGAATAACTCCATCTTCTACTTTATTCATCCTATGACAATCCAGAAAGCATGATAATTGATCGTAATTACTTGTTATTTGCATCAAAACACAGTGCCTCAGGTAGAGCTAAGCAGTGCGAAGAAGGAGATGAGCTTGAACGACGACCCAGGAGTCGAGGACAAGGCAAACATGGATTGACGTAATCATTTCCAAATTTGAACACGCAAATCACACCTAGACCTAAGCTCAAGGTTGTTAGAATTTCTGGTTGCACTTTGAAGCTGCCAGCCATCGACATGCTACGAGTCGTGTAAGCCATCAACTGAATGTGAAGCAATAACTAGACTGAATTTGTGTTTATAGAAAACCTCGTAATGCTCGCTCAAAGAGAGCCTTGGAAGCTCGGGAGCCCAAGGAAGTCGAGGATCCTCGAACCGCAATTTTTGTCAAGGGAACCTCGACTGGTGAAACTCTGAATGCTGTCATGAAAGAACTAGTAAGTATGCTGACTCCCAGAGTGCAGCTACTATTCTGATGATACGTGTTCTCAAGATGGCCTTGAAACGTCCACATGCGATTTCATTTTCGAAGAAAAATACTATTCGACCATTTGAGGACACATCTTCGCTTGAGTTCTGGGCGAACAAAAATGACGCTTCTATGTTCGTCGTCGCACAAAGTACGAAGAAGAGACCGGATGGGTTAACGTTTGTGCGCATGTACGATGGGAAAGTGCTTGATATGTGTGAGGTTGGCGTTGACAAGTTTGTCAGCATGGAACAATTTAAGGTGCGTTTACTGTACGGGACATCGATCTGTACCCAATAATCAGTATTCTTGCTCGCTCGTAGACGAAAAAATCGACAATGGGACACAGGCCTTTGATGCATTTCGCATCAGAGCTTTTTGATACTCACCCTCGCTTCATGCAACTAAAATCGCTTCTGTTGGATTTTTTCGGGAGTGAAGTCATCGAAGGGATACACCTGTCAGGTGTGGAACACGTCATCAGCATCCAGCTCGCTCCAACGCCAGAAGGTCTAAACGCAGCAACCATAGATGCTTCATCGGAAGATACGAAAAACTTACCGAAAGTTCATTTACGGACGTACACGATTAGTGCGGTTGCTTCAGGCACGAAAATTCCTCGGATAGAGCTCGCCCCCATGGGCCCATCGCTCGATCTCACACTCAGAAGACATCAACCTCCAGATCCAGATATGCTGAAAGCTGCGTTGCGCCGACCAAAACTTAAGAAGCAAGATATAGAAAAGGGTCTCGGGAAACGCAAGAAGAACGTGGAAGTGGACGAGATGGGCGATGTGCGTGGACGCTTGCACATTGGAAAGCAGGACCTCAGCAAGCTGCAGACGAAGAAGATGAAAGGACTGAGGGAAGTAGAATCGGACGATTCAGAAAGTGATGAGGACGATGGAGAACGAACTGAGAAGAGACAAAAAGCGGCTTAGCCAGTCGCTTTCCTTTGTATTTCGTTTCGATCACATTAATTTACTCTCTAATGGCCCACCCTGCTGAATCTGTTGGATAGCGGTGAAGCCAGTCGTGCGATTAGAGCGGTGGAGACTATTCTCGTTCATGTGTCGACAGTTGTACCTCTAATTGGAATTCAACACGTTCTAATACCAATCATCTCCCTCCTGGCGTTTGTATCATTTAGGGCCTTGGCGTACATTGTGGGATTACTCATCCAGGAGAATATACGCACTTATCACCGATGAACTTTAAAGAATTGTGGCCTCTTGTTCTTCACGACTTCGTCAATATGGGCTCGGGCTACTATTGTCTGCTCGGCTACCGGGGATTGAGATGGTTTATCTAAACCTGTAGGTCAGCAGATAAGGAGTTTTCTCAGTTACTGTTCAGACCGTGTAGAGAAATGCATCCGCCGTATCAACTCCGTGATGATGCCTGATGACCGCACTGCTCTCTTGCTATTTTTCTCGATTCTAGATAATACCTCAATCAATCTGTTGCTTGCTGTTTCCTCGTAGGCGGGATCAAAGGTGATTAGCCTTGTGGCACTGGAAAGTACATACTTGTTCATGCTAACTTGATCAAAATAAACTGCTTAAGCACGATAACAGCATACACACTCTTAGGATCAAAGTGTTGCTCAGGTTTTAGGTTCATCTGACCAGTGTGTAATCTTTTTTATCTCTTCAAGTTCATAAAAAGTCCTGACTGTTCTTTTGGGATGATCATCAGAATTTGCAGGCCCAGGCATTACTGGGGAATAGCAAAGACCAACTCCTTTTGCTGACCATAGATGCGAACTCAGGATTCTTCTCAGTACCCGTTCAGAAACACGTAAGACTACACCGGATCTTCTCAATGTTTTGATGTTGTCTGACGACTGCATTTTCCTATTACAATTCTGGTCAATCTTGTTGACACTCTTGATGAAGCCGGTGGTTTCTGTCGCCTCAGTGATAAGATCATCCACATACAGGAAATGATCATTACCAGACTTGATGAAGAAGCAATTTGGTGTGTCCCCTGTCCGATAAACAGTATCTTCTGACAGCATCTAAAACACATAGGGAACTACTTTAGTATGTGCATGTTGACTTGAGCTTGCAGCTCAGCTACCTCCATTTCTGCCCACATCCAGGTGAGTCGTACTTCCTTCAGATATGTCTAACAAGATTCCCTTTTTAACCGGGCTCAATAGAATACACATTTGTTTGTAATCAGTATCTTTGACAGAACTGCTACTCCTGGTCGCTTCCCGTCTACCTCAAAGTGAAAACACATAAAACATTGTTTTTTGTTTTTGTTTTTTTGTTTTGGAAGATCGACACTTTAAATGGAAGTGTAAGTCACTCTCTGGTGAATTGCAAAGACACTAACTGTGGTCTTCTAAATAGTAATTTTGGCCCTGGCCCTGTGTACCTTTCGTGTGATAATCCAACTAGCCGTGTCGGTGTCAGCATTTCGAGCACACCTGACACCACAAAATTCACGTCAACTTCACATGCCCTATCAAGTATCTCAGATTCTTCTGGGACATTGGGCCATTCTTCACCTCAGGCAAGCCCTAACACTCCAACACCAACAATTCCTCTAACCATTTCATCCATGGTCCCCACTACTATTCCTTTGACATCTCAAATTCTTGGAATTGGGCAGACATCTGTTGCCTCAACAACAATCACAGGTTCATCTTCTTTCACTAAACCTAGTTCTTCAACAACAGGATCCAGTGGAATGGTAGCTACACTGTCAGGTGTTGATGCGAGCTATACCTCTGGTCTTCCAACAGTGACATTGCCAGCATCAGGGTGATTGTCATCCCACCAATGTGAATTTGCATAATGCACTAACCGGTATCTCTTTACTATAGCTCTGATCCACACAGCATTCTGAACAAAGGACAGATAATCAGCGTTTCTGTAGGGATAGGAGCGACCGTTGCTGTCATTTCAGTGTTTGTTTTCTACATTTTCAGACGTGTCCGAGCATCTAGGAGGATCTCAACAGCCGGGCAGCCCAATCCTACCAGAACCCACGGACCTATCAGTGGGACTCGTAATATGATCGAACCGTACAACGTCGGAGAACATGTTCGGACTTCGTGGGACGAAGACGTTGCAACGCTACGGAAGTTTAATATGACTGGATCTTAGACTGTGCGATTCTGAACATTGACTTTTAGATGGGGGATATTCAAGTTCGTACTTGGATTTCTCGACAAAGTTGATATTTCGTGGCAGTGCCATTCAGGCAATGTTCATTCTCCCTTGTTATATACCCAAGGCGCTGAGTAAATGCAGTGCAATGATACCTTCGGAGTCAGATTGATCAATAAACACAAGTAGGCAATATTACCTCGTCGTTATCGTCCATGCCAGATAGTCGAAATTACGATCGACAAGCAGAGCTCTCGGTGAATTGGATTCTGAAGATGGTTAGGATCCAAACGCGTTGGAGCATCGTGTGATGGGAACTTCAGACACATAAGTATTTTTGGCCTATTCAGTATTTCCTGTTCATGCACGTCTCCAGCGAAATATCCTCAGTTGAGAAGTAACCGATGATATGTGTTTCAAATGCAAGGCGAGGAAACCATTCTACTCGTACCTAAAGCCAGTGTTTTTGGAGAAGAGGCTATGCTACAATGTGAAATCCTGGGGGGACAGGGTGCCTAGTGATGAGTTAGCTGTCCTACTTGGAGAATAGGCGACGAGCGTGTGGCACGGGTCATGAGTTCGCTTAGTAGCTCTATAAAACCACAGTGAATAACGAGTTGATCCGGAGGGGCACAGGCCATACGATGAATGGGCTACGCAGGTGTTTTCTTCGCATGTAATGAATTGACATAATAAAAGGTCTCGAGCTTCAACTTGGAATCCAAAGTACTTTAAACCCTTCAGCAACGGGCTGAAGGTGTGTTCGGTAGCATAATAGTCAGTTGAATCAATGCTAGCGTTGTAAGTCAAAGTAAAGAGGCGGTGAAGCGCTGAAGATGCCGTTGATCAAAATTCGGGTAGGCCATCAAACCTTATACGGGCCCCTCCGTGCCGTGCGCTTCGACCCATCCCACGCTTGACGTCTATTCAATTGCAATTCAAGGCTATGCTGCGGATAGAACGTTAGTATAAAAGGTACCTGGATACTCAGTGTTTACAACACCTAAGCCCATCAGCTCCCACCCGACTCAAAGCACTTCGAACACGCGACTTGAACAGGCTTGACTCCTGTCTCACCCAACCAATACTTATTACTTGTACCGAACCAATGTCATCCGGATTAAGCGTTGCTGGAAACACAACGGTCATTGGCGGAGGTGCTTCTGATTTTGGCTCGAACGACTGGCATTTGGACGAGGTACACGGTAGAAGCAGTAAGAGGAGTCCTGTAACAGAGACAGCCGGTATTAGTGCATCCAGCAAACACCCTCGTGTTCTCTTCGCTACTCAGGACAATTATAATCTCGATGAAGGACGCCCATTCTTTGTGAAGATTGAGAGGGACGGTGTCCTTGCCGCTTTAAAGAAACTCGATGGTCAATTGAAATCTGTGAGCCCTTTTCTGTGCTTGAGCCTGCGTAATCACGTGTCATGAAGCTCATTAATTCTGATGTATGACTACACAGTGGAATGGCAGGAGAATTCTTTCAAAGAAGGTATGAAAGCAGCATAATATAATATCAATATGTTGCCTGAACTGAACTTCGTTAAAGAATCCGACAGATTGGATTGGTAGGGAGATTGCCCCAGGACAAATTGGGTTCATCAATCATGGTGGAATGCCCAAGGTCCTCACCAAGCCTGGTCGTTATCCTGGTTTCCCTCTTCGTAACTGGTGGGCTCGAGAATGGAACGGGACGAAAGGAAGTAAGTAATACACGTGCAAGCCTAGTGACTTTATCATAATTTGTACTGATCTTATCTATGCCAGTCTCTGACACAGTTGTCGAGTTCCTCGGTCTGATCGTCGTCCAAGTATCTCAGAATCAAGCAGCTGTTATCAGCGATCCAAATAACCGTATTTTCGTCGTCAAGAACGGTGGTTTCGCAGCGCTTAGCATTGAAGGTGCTTACGAGGTGCTCGCCGTTGTTGATCAAACGCATCTGCCGAATGCAGTCAAGGACCGTGTCACCGGTGCCACGCTCGGTTGGAGTCATGAAGTTCGGATGCGTAGCCGTACTGGTTCTGGGAAGGAACAAGAATACGTTGTTGCGCTTTTGTAGGTTTTCCACATAAGTCCATGGTTCTTCTCGTACTAACCAGCATAAAACCAGCCTTAACATCCCAGCAAACAACTGTGCTATCCTGCAACGCGGAGATGACCTTGAGCTTCTGCCTGCTGGGCAACACTACATCACAAATCCGAATGTGACACTTCGTGGTCTATTCACGCTTGGCGAGAACCAACTTGAGATGCCTACAAAGGACATGTTCGTGTTTGCTATTGTTGTCAGTCGATAATAATCCTCATTCAATGCCCGTCTTTCCAGCTTCACTCGGGATCAGGTACCCGTTAGCCTGACGATCTATCTTAAGTGGCAGTTGACGGAGCCATTGAAAGTAAGTGATGCATCTCCTCCGCTTGTGGAATGATTATTAAAAAATTTCAACAGCTCACAACTCATGGGTACAATACACCGTTTGATGCTCTTCGTGACAAGACGCAGTCTATATTGACACAAATTGTTGCTCATTGTTCGTATTGCATTACTCTGTTCTCCCATTCAATAACTAAGTTATTTTACTTTTGATTAGTGGACTATTCCTCGATGGTGAAGCAACGATCACTCGGACCTGACAATCTTGATTCTGGTGATGATGCATCGTCTGCCTTCCTCGATGCTCTCCGTACTCGAGCCATGGACGAAATGCACATTGCTGCGCTCGAATACGGTATTGTCTTGAAAGATCTGGGTACGTAGAATTACATCCCCACAACTTGCTAATGCTAATGCACCTGCTTTGTACGATAGCTGTGATTGACCGACAGTTCAAGGGTGAAATCGCTGCTACGATGGACAAACTTACGACCCGTGCCCTCCAAGCTCAAGTTGAGGCTGCGGTACGTACCATCCCTCAATGTGGCAGTACGTAAACTGATCTTCTTGTATTGTAGAACGTCGACCGGGAGAATAGCAACAAAGTCAAACAAGAGGAAGGAGCCCTATCTGTCACAAAGATCAAAGCACAAGCTCTCAATGTCAGTCCTTCCCTTCATTCTTCGCACGAAATTGCACTCGCTTACCTACATCATTAACTCTCTACACAGACGAAAGCCGATGCAGACGCATATCAAGTCGTTGCTTCAGCTCGCGCAGCAGCCAAGTCCACCCAAATCGCCGCAGAAGCACAAGCCGAAGCAACGCTCCTCGCTGCACGTGCAGAGGCAGACGCTATTCGTCTCCGCGCCGTTGCAGATGCAGAAGTACGCGATACATTCGCTCGTGAGATGCAGCTTCGTCGTATCGATGTATCTCGCATTGCGGCGTACGGGAACCGTACTGTATTCGTGCCCGTTGGAAATGGGACGGGGGAGAACGGCCATCTTGCAGAGCAGGCAGGCAATGCGATGGCTGTAGGCTATGCTGCTGGTTTAGGTGCTGAGCACAGCAAGCATTGATAATTTCATTGGTGTTCCTTTCTTAATCTGGGTATTTATTGCCGCAACGTTGAGTATCCTCACATATGCATTCCTTACACTCTGCTGGATCAACATCTGATCCTGTAACATGTATAATCACATTCGTTCAAATATATATACCTTTCATTCTTCCTTCCACAGAAATCATGAGATCGTACGTCTAGTCATGAGTGCATTATCATAAAGTTGTAAAGCGAGAGGTACGTATAATACATGACGGCACAAGCTCGAGAGAAACATAAAAAATACATCAATGCACACTCTCGTGCTACAAATGACCAAAGCAAAGGGAGAAAACAATGTCGATATCTACATGGAAGTAACAAGAAACGGAAAAAATCATTGCTTCGGAGAAGATGCCTTGTTGGGGTCGACGAGCTCATTGAGTTGCTGATTGCGCTTGCTTGCTATGTCGATTTGCCGTCGATACGACCTGAAGTGAAGGTGAACAAAATATGAGTTATTCAGTATGTCTAGAACATTGAAGGAGAAACTTACTTTATTGTCGTCTCTAGCTCATTCACTCTCTCCTTCGCGCCCTGCCGTTCACGCTTCACACGTTCCTCAGCCGCGCGGAGCCGAGACTCGTACTCCTTTACGCGTGCTTCCCATTTATTGTCAGCTACGGTTGTCTTCTGGTTCATCGCAGCCATCTTTTCTTCAGCCGCCAGCAGCTGGTTCTGTGCATTCGTGAGTCTGCGTTCGGCATTTGCTGCTCGTGCTTGTAGAGATTTGATCTCGAGCGACTCAGATTGTCCATGTCGTCTTGAAGAGACCTGGGTCTGCAGCTCTGAATTCGTTGACTAAAAGAAATGGCGTCAGTAAACGAGTTTCCAAGAGTAAGTTGTATGATGAATAACCTTCAGAGCTTCAAGTTCTCCTTCCTTAAGAGCAAGCTTGCGTTTCCAAAGGTGCTTCTGGTCCATGAGGTTTCGGACAGATACATCAAACTTGTCAATCTGCTTCCATTTCGAATCGATCTGCTTCCGGATCTCGTTCAGTTTATCCGTGTACCGCGTCTCAATTTCTTTACTCCTCTTCTCAAAGTCAGTCGCAATCTGGTTGAGAGCTTTGAGTCGCGTCATGATCAATTCGTGGAAGACAGGGAAATTGGTAAAGGGTTTCGTCTCTGGCTTTTTCTGAGAAGATAGATGTAAGGCGGGCATACTTAGGGACAATATGACGAGGACTCACAGGCATTTTTTCTACTCCAAGGATTTTATCCATGTACGAGTAGATAGTTAGCAGAAGCGAATTTCGCTCGTGCAATTGCTCGGTGTAGTTCTTCTCACTGTTGAGCAACGATCTCTGATCCTTGGATAGCCTCTGCTCCAAGTCGCTCAGTCGCTGCTTGCATGAAGCCAACTCCGATTCTGCCGTGCGCAGACTGTTCTGCGAAGCATCCAGCTTCTCAATCATGTTCAAACGCGCCTGAGTTTGTGACGCAAGTTGCGTTGTGAGATCCCGGTTCTCAGCATGCAACCGATCCACGGCATCATCTCGCTCGCGCATCTTCGTCTCTTTCGCAGCAAGTTCTGCACGTGCGCGCGACAGTTCCTCCTCGAGTCTATCGGCATCGCGACGTAGTCGATCAACTTCAAGTTGCAGAGAGAAACGATCCGCCGTAGCATTCTCACCGCGCTTGCGTACTTCTGCCTCCTGCTCTCGCAACACAGCCTGTACATCTTCGAGATCCGCGTCTCGTTGAGTCAAAAGCGCCTGAGTACGCGCAAGATCTGCAAGTGCAGACTGCAGTGCGGATTCCTTTGCCTCAAGTGTACGCCGTTCTGAACGAAGAGCGGCATCATGCGAATTCGCCTGCGTGTCGAGCTCGAATTCAACCTTCTGTCGCAGTTCCCGCTCACGATGCATCTCCTCCACGAGGTTCTCAACATGCTGAGCAAGCTCCTCCTTCTGCACTTGACAATCCCGCACGTCGTCCCTAGCTTGCTCGTAGAGCTCAGTGATCTCCTGTAGTTCTGAGTTACACAAAGCGAGTTTCTATTCATGAAAATGCGATGAGGGGGTCAGAATATAATGATAGGAAACGAAACTGACCTCTTTAAGGGCAGAGACCATAGTGTCTAACCTGTCTCTCTCCATCGCTTCTTCATCGCGAATCTTATCGCTCATCGCTTTGACATTGTCAAGTTCATCCTCGAGCTCAAACACTCGCTGACCGAGCTTCTGAATCTCGCGATTTGCACTCTCGATTTCCGCATCCTTTTCTTCGGCTTCTTGCTCTAGATGGGCCAGGGCTGCTTCAAATTTGTTATGAAGGTCCGTGGTATTCGCCTCTAATTCTGAGACGTGCATTCGGAGTTCTTTGGAATCAGCATCTCGTTCGGCGAGAACCTATTATGTCTGAGGTTAAAATCCACATAAGAGAAAGGGACAGGACGTACATCGCGGAGCTCCTCGACTTGGTTTCGTGCTTCATCCACTTCCTGCCGCCATTCTTTGTTGAGTTCGTCAGCTGCGCGTTCGTTCTCCCTAATGATTTCTTGAATCTCTCTGTCCTTTGAAGTGAGCTCGTCATCTTTCATGTTCAGCTCAATTTCCGCGGCAGCTAGCTTGTCCCTCAACTCATTATTAGTATCCTCCATCGCTTCTCGCTCTTCTTGGTTCTCATACATCCTCAGTTGGCTCTCACTACGCTCTTGCGAGACCGCCTCGTGCCTCCGCTGAAGACTTTCTAGTTGGAGTTCGAGGGATTCGACTTTATCATAAAGCTCCTCACGCTCATCCTCCCGATGTGCCAGCACTTCGGCGTGATCGTCAAGCTTTACGTGGAGATCCTCATTCTCATCTTCCAGCTCCCTGATTCGAGCTTCAAGACGCGATCGTCGTTGGCTCATATCAGCCGCAGTAGCTTCCGCACCGCCTTTCCTTTCCAGTTCTGCGGCCAGTTCTTGCATCTCAGCGTAATTCTCCTCGATCTGGGCCCTCAGTTCTACCACCTGATTCTTAAGTTCCTCGTTCTCTTCACGCAGTTCCTCATCCATGGGACCGATACCGCCTTTTCGACGTCTGACTTCTCTTAGGTCGTGCTCCATGTTCTCGAGCTTCTGCTCAAGCTCTCGTTCCCTACCACGACCTTGCTGCAGACGCTGGAGCTCACGTTCCAACTCTAGTACAAGTTTCTTGTACTTCTTCATTTCAACTCCCCGTTGCTGTACCTCAATTTTGAGATTTATATTCTGTTTGAGTGCAGCGTCAATCTGATCAGGGGCGAGTTGCGCTAGCCGTTCCTCAAGAAAGTGTACTTTCAACTTGATGTTGAAGTTTTCTTTCTTTAACGCGTCGATGTGCTTTATGCAAGATTAGCTTTGACATTGACAAGCCTATGAAATAGACACACTTTCTCTTGATCTCGTAAAGTGAGGTTCGTGGCTCCTTTTGCACCTGAGCCCGATTTCTGCTTGGTTGACAGGCGGCTAGGCATAGGTGTAGCCATAAGCTCTCCCTTAACTTCACCAGGTGTCCGCGGTACTTCGGCATCGCGCTCCTCTTCATCCTCGTCATTCGTCAACTTAGAAAAGGCCAAGCGTTTGCTCGTTGTTGAAGCCAGAGTACCATCTGTCCTGCTCTGGGTTAAGCTAGCACCCGGAGAGGGAGTGCTGAGCGCATTTGAAGAAGGAGCAGTTGTCCCTGAGGAGGTCGAGGGAATCCGGTACTTTGCCGGTGTGGAGAAACTAGGCAAAGAACCGAGCGAGAGGTCCTGGAGTGTCATGCCAGATTGGGAAGACGAGTCTGCCCGCGAATGCGTAGTAGCAGACATTTCAGCTTGTCTTGTTGTCGAAATTTCTTGATAGCAGCTCTGAGGGTTGTTTGAGGCTAACCAAACCCACCCCACGCTGGTCCTTTTACACCTGCAGGATTTCAGTTCAGAATAAGTCAGACAAAAGAAAGTCCTGAGTACACGCACCAGCTCTCGCCTCGGCTGGCTCAGTCGTCCTTGGGCGGCTAATTAGAGCGATACAGATTCAGTGCAAGTGTGTCCAACACCCCGTTAACGTATTGGACCAACTCGTGCACGTGACACAATTTCGCGTGGTTTGTTTGTTTCTGTGTACTGTTTACCATCATACCCATCTATGAAAGAATACGTTCACTCCTGTTTCTTTCCTCTAATGTCCTTTGCTCTTCTATCTTGTAAGTGACGGACATCTGGATATATAGTATCACAGCAAAGCAGATAGCAGCCGTAATTTATTCCAGTTTGCTGGAATGATCACAAGGTTTGTATAGCTCAACTTGCAGGGAGGCAAAGCGTCGTAAGGTGGATAATGACATGCGAAAGCAGATTTCCCGGACCGGAAGGTATGAAGCATTTCGTGATGCGTAGTAGCCTCTCATTTAGCCAACTTGCCAATAACTGCAAGCACCCCAATACTACTTAGTTAAACGTCAGATGCAACGCCAACACTTCTGAGGGCTATTTGCATATCTCCCGCCTATTAAAGCAAGACCAACTTTGCCAATACTGTAATACTTCAAAAGAATCTTTGCACATCGTTCTATGTGAACTCAGGGTATAATAAGCACCGGATCTCCTTCCGAGTTATCGGAACAAGTATCAGACTTGACCAAGAGCTTCACTCAACTAGATATCTTTTATCCCTCAGAATGGCATCCTCTGATTATGGAAATCCTCCCACAGCCTTGCAGAGTTTAGCAAATCAAGTTCAGGAGAAGCGATTTTCGGGAAAGAAACTGGGAGAAATAGTGCCAGGTATGACTATCTGGACTAAGAACCCAGAGTCTGGCTTTCGGCATAGATTTCTTCAAGTTGACGGGCGGTTGCCGAATGAAGTGAAGAAGAAAAAGCATAACGAGCTCGTTTTGACTGTTAACAGCAATTGTGTGACAACGGTCGGAATATCAAACTTTGGCTGTTCAGCAAGTCTTAGCAGCAAGGGTATCCCTAGTGACAAGTGGAAGTATTTTGTCCCGATTTCACCGACGACCAAGGAAAGTTCAGATCAGCTTAGCCCAATTCATATTGAAGGTTATTATGAAGGAGGATGGGTAATGCTGGTTCCATGCTACATACCCTTTGATGAAAATGGGAACGTAAGTAGGTAAACATCTTCAATATTTTAATTACTTACTCCTTGGATGCATACTAGTACACAGGCAGAGAGTCGAGTATTGACGGAACAACACTAGGACAACTCTACTCTTACATCAGTGTGGTCAGGCCAGAATTTGAAAGTTTCATCAGAGCACGTACTGAAACAGCTGCAACTCCAACAATGAGCAGAAGTAGCTACAGTAACAGAAGTAGCAGCAGCAAAGATACAAGGAGAAGTGGAGCATGGGGCACTGGCAGCTGGCAATGAGATTCTGGCGGAGGTGGTCACTACAAAGAACAGAGCTGGGCAATGTGTTGCACAGACATAACAGTTATATTCTTGTTTCCAACTATTATCCTTAAAAAACAAGCTAGCAGTATGTTAGACAAAATAGAATAGAATAGAGAAATGAATGGACAATGTTGGTCCTGAGGAACTCTGAGCAAATTTTTATGAGAAATCCCAGTTGATCAGTAAAGTCTTAAGTTTTAGAGAATAGTGCATACAGCCTGTTCCATATTGACAGAGGTCTCTAATGTTTCTCATTCTATAAAACCTTTATATTATTATATAGCAATCATGTCTCTAATTTCAAGTACTTGTAAGCAATCATAATAAGCTTGTAGTGTGTAGTCAGAAAACTCTATTATAATAATATTAATTCTTTTTTAGCTTACCTGAAGTCTCTCTTCCTTGGTCAAATTGTTAGATGCATCCCAGATATAATTCAAAGCTGTCACTAAATTATGTGCAAAGCTAAAAATCTTCTTGACCCTGTATGCATTTTCCCTTCTTGATATAAGTAAAGTGTGTCTTGTCTAATACTATAGCACTTTTAATAGTAATAACAAACTAAGCAACTCTGTAAAGGTTAATATTACAGGGGAACTATTGTACAGAATGGATTCATAATGTCCCTCTACTCCTTAGGAGGAACAGCTTCAGACAGTAGACTTAGCCATTTAACTTTACTTTACTAGACTTTTTTTGTTTAGTAACTGTATAATAGAATGTTCCTTAGTAATAAGAAAACTGGAAAATTCAAAATGCTGAGACAGAGAACAAGTCAGACTAATCTTCTCTCACAGAGTAGAGTTCCACAATACAAGAAGGAGATATGCAAGGAGAGAATAAATTATATACAGAAACAAAACCAGAAGATATCAACCCAGGAATGTTGATCTGGGCTAAGAACCTAGAAGGTCTCAGTCATCTTAGCTTTCTTAATGTCAAAACCATGTCAAACCCAAGCACACTGAAGAAGAGCATGCATATGGAAATCATATTAGCAGTCAATAAACAAGAGAGTTATGTAACAACTATTAGAATATCAACCTTTGGTGGCTCAGCCTGCCTTAAGGACAATGTCCTAAGGAACAAACTGAAGTATTTTGTCCTTTGTTCTCCAATGACCAACATCACGAAAAAGTCTTAAGTATTATACTTGCTTGTAATCTTGTATATTTTATAAATTTTATAAAATTTGTCCAATTACTTATAATCTTCCTGGGGGGTTAAGCAAGGAAAGTACAATGTTAAATAAGCAAGAAAAAATACTTTTAAAACTTGGCAATTTCTGATATAATTTTATAAATTGTCAAGTTATACAAGTGATTATAATATACTTCCTAAATTACAAGGTTAAGACATACTTATTAATTTGTGACAGTGTAATATCTGCTTATAATGCTTACAAGTCATTACAAGTGTTTGAATAGCTTGCTTTTGCTTACTATACAATTTTATATCAAATAATTAATCGAATATAATTATATTTAAATTATAGAATACAAAAATAGTAAATAATACGCCATTTCTACAGTCCCAACCCCTACACCACCAGCTGCCTCTGCCTCATTCTTCTGCGAGTGGGATTTGTGTTGGACAAGGATGACCGCATTCTCAGGCCGTTCGACGTAGTCTTCGTCACCACGTTTTGGTCGTTGCTTGGTCCCTGCAAGTTGAACTGCGAGTGTGTGTGGAATGAGGTTGAGCAGGTTGTGGAGATTGAGGCTGCGCCTGTGAGACGAGCTTAGAGTGATTAG